GATAGCGAATTTAGCATTAGTCGAGTAATATCTATTAAGTCACGCGAGTGGCTTCTGTATCACAGTTCTGAGAGAGAGCAGAGGCGCGTATATAGCCAGCTGGGCATCTCGTCGCGCCACTTTCGCGTCGTGAGCGGACCTCGATGAGCTGGCTCGTAAATCAGACACTGACGACGTAGTGGACGTGCGCTTTACGCAGCGTGTCTGATCTGACACACGCGCGCGATCTCGTTGAACCAATTAAGAGTGACTTTTGAGTTGGCCCACATTCGGACCTGAAGTTAACAGATGCCATGATACAGCACCCCATTCAGTGTCTAGCTTTGACGTGCAGGGGTTAGCGTTTACTGAGTCCAGCAATTAATCTAAATTTGCGCGCTAGATCTCCAATTCTGTTAGTTGCAAACAAAATCGTATTCTACGGTGATTTACGATCCAATAGTATCTAGTCAATTTGCGTACATGTGGGAGGTGCTCAGTCGCTGGAGTAACATTGAGACATAGGTGTCAGATGTTAGATAATCGGATACAATTTAAGCATCCTCAGCACGGCACGCACTCTCTCACCTTATGTCCGAAAAGATTTTGAAGATACGAGAACGGAATGCGCGGCAAGCGGGCGCGTAGTGAGTGCGATAGTAAAGCCACTGCGGGACCATGCCTAATTTCATTGTCTTGCATCCACTGCGCTATATAGGGGGAATCCAAAGGCAGAGAGCTCGTATTACCGGTCAGCGCGATGGTGGACAATAGACCAGAGGGCCCAAAGACGGAGTTTGTACCTGCGGAGGTTGTCACGAGCCTTCCAAGCCTGCGGAGACTTTGGAGATCAGAGCGATGGTTGGCAGTCGCTTTTCTATCTTATGCGATCAGCCCTTGACCGCGGGGGCAAGCGTTGAGGGAGAACCTTCCTTCAGATGACGGGGGGAGCACAGAGAGTTACCCATTCTTGGTGGTGGTCTTGGCGTCGTCGGAATCGCGTTTCCAAGTCTGGGAACTCTTCTCGTCGAGTTGTACCGTCTTGAGACTTTGTTATCGGAAGGGGGGATGTTTGTCAGACGAGGACTGATTCTTGGCCTTGAGCTTCTTCAAGGTCATGGGGAGTGCAATCCCAGACTTTATCTTTACCAGGTGTGGTTGGATGCATCATGGACTGTGGTAGTCAGTTCTCCTGAGCGCATTTGGTTCTCGTCTGGGTCTCTCTGTTTCGGAGGTGCACCAGTCGTGGGTCGTTGTTGCGAGTAGGCTTGTACTTATTGCTGTTGTTATTCTTCTTAGGAGCTTGGCCATCGAGGCGGATCACCGGAGGTTTTCTGCCTCTCCGGCGCGCGAGCGGAGAGCGCGAGAAGCACCAGTCGCCTTGTCACGTCTCGTCAAAGATCCATGATTCGTCGCCGACCACTGTATAGCTGAAGAAGGATCGCAAGTCCGTGTTCGTCCATTTGGGATGCCCCCTCTTCAAATCCACAGAGCGTGGAATTCGCAATAGACACACACAATGTCAATAGACTCCTCCAGATCATGGTTCACACAACACTCATCAGGGTCCACTGAGCGCTCCAAGAAGGTGGTAGACGAGCTGCGAAAAACGGTTCATCGTGTTCAAATCCGAATTGGGCACTGGCTCAGAGGTTGATTGAAACATAAGAGCCACGAGCTCAGAGACATATCAGAACTATGGCTTACGCACTTGGCCCCGAGGCGGCATTCAGGTAAGAGCAAGCGTGGGTCAAATCTCGACGATTCTTACAAACAGAGCTCTGGTAGGGACAGACCCAACGAGAGCTTCGCACCACGTCACATTTATGCCAAAACGTAATGTCAGCGTCGTCCAAAGCAGGCTGAGCTGCTCAGTTCCAGGCAGCCTGGAAACCCGCTTGGAAAGCGGCTTCATCTTCACCGCCACGTACAACGCGTGGAGGAATCGCGTAGACTGCAATCTGGCGCAAGCCATTCCAACGTACTTCACGATGGCCTGCAAAGCTAGATTCGTAACTGCTCATTGCAGAGCTAGAAGTCATCTCACTGAGGAGGTTATGTTTTGTCCGCCACAGGCGTAGCACAACCAATGGGCGGAGTCCGCGAAGCCGAAGGAGCGCGCCCATGGAGACGAGGCAGGGACCCATTTGATGGTCTGACGTGGAGTTCCAGATCCATTGATGATTTTGACCTTGAATGGTGTACTGGGCGCTGTTAGCATCTGCTGGAATAGTGCGAAGTTTGTAGGTAGTAGAGCGAGAATAGTCGATCTCGGCGTCTTCATCGGGTCGATGAGAGGAAGTATTGGTTTGTCACGCAGCGTGGACTCGAAGCTGGTGTATGCGTCTTGTGCAATCTTCATGGTGAAGGAATAGCCAGTAATTGAGGTGGTAAGCTGATTACGCAGATCATAGTGGTTTTTGTTGGTGTAAAACGAAAAATGCAAAACTATGTCGGCCTATTGGAAGGGAGAAAAGCTTAGTGGTTAATAGAATCTCCCCTTCAATCGTAGTGTTCTGCACTATTGAGTAGACACTGAAAGTTCAATGCACAGAAAGATTATGAAAGCTATGAAAAACTTTAATCGCAACAAGCAGAGAGATCACACAGGGAATATCAAAGCGCCGCTGCATAAATGTTGGAGCACTCTGCAACATTGCCTAAAAAACATTCCCGCGCAGGGAGAACCTGTAGAACGTGTGAATAGAGTAGGTTGGCCGGTAAGACAATCCTACTCACCCCACCGATCCAAAAACGGAACCAGTGGAACCTTAACCGTAAGACATAGCCAATTTTATCATAGCCGACGATCTCTATCGAACCCCCACGCCGAGCGGCGTAGGGCAATAAGGTCTGAGCGCACAGTCAGCTCTTTTCTAGACGCATCCGCGACCCACTACGTGAGAGACTAAAGCGGTGCTCATTTCCAGGATGAGAGAAAACCTGTCTAACAATGACTATTAGCAACGAAGAGACCAAGTCCATAGAGTCTGAGAAGCTACAACCCGGATGGCATGATGGGAATCGAGTCGTACGAATGGGTAAGAAGCTAAGAGGCCGCTCTATACTAGTGCATGTTAGGTTGAGCCCTTGGAGGTATTTACGGTTAAGTTGTATGCTTGGTTCTGCGAGTCTATCTCTACCGGTGAATCCTAAGGCGACAACTAATGTGTCTAGTCTCTCGAAATCACCAGCGAGCAAACCAGGTACCTATACCCCTTAAGCTTTTGCTACACACAGCGCCTATTCTGAATGGACCACGAAGCGTGAGATAAATACCTCTGCATACCCCGAGGACTTAGCTACACCCACCGGATGGAGAAAGCAATACACAGCGACGAATCCTCTCCTTAAAACTAGAAATAAATTCATGAGCGAACGCCTCAGCGACACGACAGTATCTGGTATAGAGCCCCTCATTGGATTACTAACACATATACCCAGAGAATGTCGATTATGTATTCTAGTCGTAGATTAACCCTACATTAGTAACGATAGTGCAACATCAAACATCTCACACAACATCACAAATCTTTCTAGCACAGCACCCGATTCGATACCTATACATGCGATCGAACAGCAGGCACAGAGCAAGCACCACACATCAACACACACACACACTACGAGCTAGCAAGAGCCAGCGAGAGAGAGAGCAGAGAGAGAGAGCGCGGCACGACTTGGCACTAGCTGCCTAAAGTTGACGGAATAAGAGCGAGCAGGAGAGCGAGAGCGCGCGCGCGAGCGACGCGCGCGCGCGACTGAGAGCCTAGATATTTCGAATGGCAGTTTAAGAATTACCATGCAAATGCTAAGACACTCAACCATTGGCAGGCAGGTCAGTCATTCTTTGCGTAGATACCTCCATGGCGACTCAACACATACCTCAAGCCACCGCGGTGCACTTGTTCTATTGATGCGAGAGCCGCGAGCGCCGCACGGCGAGGAGTCCGCCTTTCTACGAGCCTAATCTGTCACCTCCGGTATGTTCTCACATGAAGAGGCACCTAGATTATATTATACCGGGTCCGGGTAGAATCTATCCATTCTCGAATTTGTGTGGAGACGCTGCCAAAGTGAGCGCCGAGCTGTGCCACAACGATATGGCAGTTCGAATCTGTCTAAACAATGCCCCGGGGGGGATGTTCCTGGAGTATCTCCTGGAGTAGGGGCGTGGAGCGAGATGGACCAGGAGGGGGTCCGACTCCTCGGTACCGGTTGGACCAGGAGTTGGTCCTGTCTTTGGCTAGAACCACGAGTGCCAGAAGATGATTCTGCTGCCTGGTGGTGGCGATGGTGTTGGCTGGAGCAGGAGGTGCACCTATTGTTGGTTCAGGACTGGGGCCCACAGTTTGCCTCCGAGAGGCGGGATAGGGCAAAGGGTTGGTCCAGCAGGCAGTATCGTACCGTACGGTATTGTAGGACCTACTAATAAGTGGGGCCTGGAGTACCATACAAGCGTCGAACAGGGTTACTCGGCATTTTGTCTATTTAAGGCTATTGTATCTGATTACAGAGTTTCCTAAATGTTCTATGCTCCTTTGTAAAGTGGCTTATGTCTCACAATGTCTACGGATGTCTCACAATGTCTCACAATGTCTACTAATGTCTCACAATGTCTCACAATGTCGCACAATGTCTACTAATGTCTACCAATGTCTCACTTTGTATACACAGTACAGAAAAACAGTACAAAAATGTCTCACTTTGTCTACCAATGTCTCACAATGTCTCACAATGTCTCACTTTGTCTACCAATGTCTACCAATGTATCACTTTGTCTCCTAATGTCTCCTAATGTCGCACAATGTCTACTTTGTCTACTTATGTCTACTAACTGTGTGTAGACATTTACACTTAATCGCCAAAACACTTTCCCAAATTTAAACAGACAAAATGCCGAGTAACCCAGGTGCCCGTGGGGCTTTCCTCGCTGATTCTTCAATTGTCACTCGTCACTCGACTCAAACAGCGAATCTTGATGGGCATGATTGAAGATTCGATAGTCATTCTAACTTCGGGTTCCCAACTTGAAGCTTCTCCCTAACACTCTGACTGACACTCTCACAGCTCTCAGCTCTCCCATGTCCCATCTCATGTTTTTACAACACACCGGAACCGGTACCGGTACAGCTTTATCCATTCGACAACAAATCGGTACATGTCAAAGATCATGTCAACATGTTTCCGTCTGTACTCCTTGGCTTCCTTGTCCGATACTCTCCGGAATGGTTGGTTTGGCAAGTTTCAGGTGGGAGCAAAGATGTGATGCAGGCTCACTTTGAACGAAAGGCACGGCTGGAAGCACGGCCTTCGTTTGTTGGCCAAGAAGCGCCCGAGTTTACCCTACCCACACTGGAAGACGATGGCCAACAGATTTCGTTATCCAGTCAAAAAGGAAAGCCGGTTGGCTTAATTTTTGGATCCTACAGTTGCCCCCTCTTCCGTGCGCACGGTCATGACATTGAAAAAGTCCACCAAAAATACAAAGAGCAGGTAAACTTTTTGTTTGTGTATCCATCGGAAGCGCATCCCACGGAAGGATGGGTCATGCATCAAGGCAAATGAAGGCAAGGACATTTGCTTTGCTCGGCCCAAGACAATGGACGAAAAGCGCCATTTGGCACAACTGACCAAGGATGGCTTCAATCTCGGCATGCCTATTCTTATGGATGGATTGGATGATCGAGTGGACGATTTGTACGGTGGCATGCCCGTGAGCTTGTACGTCATTGACAAAGATGGCATTGTTCAATTTCAGGGGCTGGTAGGTCCTATTGGATTCAGTGTGGAAGCATGGGAGAAGGCGATTCAAAGGCTTGTCCCAGCAAGTGACCAGTAAAACTACATGTATGGTTGGTTTGATGCACCGGGAAAGACAGGTGTAAAGACAAAATATGTTGTGTTGTTCAATGGGGCAAACCGAGAAGGCATGTACCGGTACTGTGCAAGCAATGCACATTTAGATACGACAAACTCGCTCACCGCTGCTACGGTAGGACTGCTAGGGTGCCGGTAGATAAAGGAGAGCAGTTTCCAATCAAATCTTACAAATTACGAGTGATTGCTGCGTTATGACACGCCAGCAATTTCAACACAACCGTCTTGCTAGTAGGCAAGACTAGTCTATTCTAGCCTATATTGTCATCAACATGTTTCGATGTGGCGCATTTTGGGTCCACAGACTTGGCTGGGAACTCTTCAAATAGTCGTTTCTTCCTCCTCTGTGGTGTCACTTGTCTTTGTTTCTCGCATTCCAACGTCAGAAGACACGGATCCTCCATGGCTAGAGAGAGAGGCTCGCCCTGTGGTGCTTGTTCCCGTGTCAGGCGAGAGCGACAGCCAAGCAGGAACTTGTTCCAAGAACACCACACGGCCCGTAGTGACAGGGTCGTTCATCTTGATACTATCTTCCCAGTCGTCGATCGTGGCCACGGTTGCAATCGTGTCGCGCTTGACGAGTGCCTTCATCAAGCGATCAAAACCATTGTCGTCACTGCTGCTTTCTTTGTCTACACCATAGCGACAGGTCGTCTCCTTGCGCACAATGGTTCCTTTCAAGTCAATTTCCATCCACGAGAAGGAAGGCGAGGATGATTCCGACATTGGATCGTGAAACAAAGCGCCGATGAGATAGTTGGGGCAAGCTGCCGTGTTGAAGACGAGAGCAATGGAAGCGGCAGAGGAGTCCTTCTCAGTGAGACGAGTAGCTGTCGACGTCGTTACACGTGAACCGTCCCCGGTGCGACTCCACCAGCGACAAAAGGCCAAGAATTGCGCGCGGCGGATTCTCGTCAAGTCTGCTGCCGTCAGTTGTTTCTTCTTTGGTGGTGCCTTCTTTTGTTTCTTCTTGGGGGGCTCTTCTTGTCCGGACACGGAGGTTCCAATGCCATCATGCACAGGTTGCTGTCGACCATTGCCAGTGTCGCGGCCGCTGTCGGAGACACCGATCGCGACTCCACCGCTCGCACGATTGGTGGTCGGATCCAAAGGTGCTTCTCCAGCAGATGCCTTCATACGCGAGAGGTCGCTTCCCTTGCCATTGCTGCCGTGAATCAAAGAAGCGACGTTGAGATTGAACATGACCATATTGTCCTGCGGGGGCGCATACTTGGCTGTCGCTCGTGCTTGTACGCTCGTCTCTTCCATGGCCATCATCACGTTGACTGCATTCGCGCGCAAGGATTCTTCGTTTCGAGGCATACTGGTACCATCCAAGAGTCGTCCTCCTCCCATTTTTCACTCTCCTTCTTTGCTCTTCGTAGCTTCCTTTCGTATCCACCAACTTGGGACGTCGTCGCCTCTTTCTCTCTCTCTCTTCTTCTCTTCAACAATGTCCGATTTGTGCACGAGGGTTTTGGAGAAAGATCCAATGGCGCGTTTTTGAATTTGCTAACCCTAGCCCTACGGTACCGGAGCCGTACACCGTGTTTCCACGCTACACGTTTAAACCCAAAATACGATTTTTTTCAAAATACGCGTATATTGCATAGCACTTTAGTTCAAATTGAATCGGCTCTTCTGGGAAGCGGCCACCATTTTACTATAGGATTTTTAGTACACCAGGTGCTGCAGAGAACAGCAGACACACTCAGATGGCAACAGCTTGGCAACAATGCGGATAACACAGAATCGAACAAGAGGCGACAGCCAACAGTGTTAGCTCTGGGTGGTTTCGAGAGAAGCCGTCCGTAGACAGCTCCTACTCAGAGCAAACAACTGTCGTCCTTTCGACTAGAACTCTTGTGTCATACCCCAACCGGAGACATCAAGAACTGGAGTGTCCGATCCATCTGATTCGCGACGATTGTTGTTTTGAGTGTTGCGTCCACGACGGCTGCGTCGAGGAGGGTTGTTGATCATGACGCGGATCTCTTCAAACTCGTCATCATCTGAGTCCATTCCTCCACGGCGACGGTGAGGAGGAACTGCGGCGGCAGGAGTGGAGGCGACTGGAGCAGGAGCGGCGACTGGAGCGGCAGCGAGGACTGGAGCGGAGGCTCGAGCTCGATGGTTGGCTCGAAGGTTGGCGGCGACAGCTTCGACAGCTGCAGCAGGAGCAACCACAATGGGAACCGGCAGATCAACCAAAGGAGGATTGTCCACACCAGTACCAAACAATCCGGGCAAACCAGCAGCAACAACAACAACAACCTGTTTTCCGGTGAGGAGGTTTTTGATCCGATAGGTTCCACCCTCCACCTGAAGGGTCGATCCTGAGAGAGGCAGAAGTGAGCAAGAAGCGCCACCAGCAGCACACAAAGCAGTGTCATGGACTAACCTGGACGCTCAGACACCATCTCTTGAACATGGATTGGAAATCTCGCAAATGGAGGACCACCGTGGAGAAAGGCAACCGTCTCGTCCTCTCCTGCACGATCGAGGGCGGCGGCCATCTCCTCCAACAACGCCTCCTGTGTCATGTCAACAATACGCATACCCATGGCAGACCGAGAGAATGAATGGATTGCTAGCTTGAACACCATCTTGATTGATTGCTTTTCTTAACACTGAAAGCAAAATCTCCGGATAATGAGCTTCGAATCGAACCAACAATCAACCTCGACCTCTCCGATTGATACAAGAGCAACGGAGTATCCGAATATTCTTTCCCGTTAACATCCCCTATCTTTACAACACCAGCCCTGCCAGTAGAGGTGCCAAATCGAATTCTTTCTTAAAGGATTGTTCTGGGAATGGTGGAGCTTGCTCCTACCGGTCAGGCGCCACCAGTTGATGTTGTATCAAGGCATTCGTATTGCCATTCCTGAACGTTCGAGAGCTCGCACGCCATGTGCAACCAACCAACCAACGAACTTGATACAAGCGGCTGACTAGAAATCGATTACAACAAGCAATCGGCTTGACAATGATGTACCAAACCCTCCCGCACCCGCCACCGAACCATGCGGCAGAGGCGACGGCTCGAGGATCTCTGCACATTGTCTATCGCAATGGATCGGAAATGCGCGTCCAAGGAAGCTTTTCGTTTCAAGTTGCTGTCGCCCCTGTGCTGACACGTGCAATTTTGGGCGACCGTGTCTCTGAATACCACCAGCATCGATTGAAGGTCGATGGAGATCTCTTGCCGCCCGGTGGAGTACCAGCTGGCAATGATAGGATCATTATTGGCCAGCCAGTTTCTTTCGAGATTGGGCTCCCTTTGGATAAAGCAACAATCACCATTCGTCGTCTTGAAAGCGCCAACAGCAGCGGCCGCGGCATGCTGCTAGATTTTGCCCGCGTCACGGATCCCAATGGATTGAGGAGTATTCAGGTGGTGTGCCCTCGAAACGCACTCACAGATCAAGGACGACTATTCTTCGGAAGATTTGAAGATGCAGTGCTCGGACGCAATTGAATGAGGCAGAAATTGGTAATGAATCGAATCATAGTGTAAATCCTTATAGAAACTTATATTGTTGTGAAATGCCAACAGCAACACTAGATACTAGGATCGGTACATGTACTCGACATAGAAGCATCGACTCCAGCATCATCATCATCATCATCCAATAGATCAAGGAACACAGAATCACGTTCCTCAGGAGAAACTTTCCCCAGAACAAGAGCAAGGATGCTCTTTCGTCGAGTTGAATCCAAAGCAAGAAGTCTTGTCGCAAGAAACTCTTCCTCTCGCTCAAATGCCCGCTTGAGCTCTGTATCATTGACTAAGTCTGTTATCTCTCCTGATTTCAACCGATCAAGTTGCTCTTGCCTATCCGGAGTCCATCCATTCACGCCTTCCTCGACGTCCACTGACTGATACTTCTTTTCGTACAGATTGATCAAATGTTGCTTCGGTTTGGTTTTGATCTTTTCGTTGTTGGGCTCCATTGGAAGTGGCCCTTGTTTCCACTGAATAACAGCACGAAGCATGCCATTCGTCCACGACCTTTTCCATTGCTTGTGCTGTGAAGGCGAGCCGTTTCCATTTTCAGGATGCTGCTCGAGAACAACAAGAGCAGCCTGTTCGATTTCTTCAAATTCCAACCTCAATTGCCTCTCCTTTTCAAGCTTGACGGCCTCCTGTTTCATTCCTTTCCGAGCCCAAGCAATGAGGGCATCGTTGCTGTTCATTGGACCACCACCATTTGTGACATGGAACCACTGCCCAGCTGTCGAGACTTTCTCAATGAGATCTTGTCGCTCTCTTGTATTTGGCTCTGTTCGGGCCTCTTGTCTACCTGCTGTTTGAGATGCAGTGACTCGACGCACGGAGAGCTTAAGCTTTTCTTCTGCCAACGCATACCCTTTGCTGTGAAGCAGAGAACAAGAGTCATGGTTTGCTTTCTCCAAGGCTTGATAATAGGCACCAACTGGATCGGCCTCGGCATCAATAAGCCCCTCTCCATCGTGAACAACCTCATGCCTCACTTTCGGATGCTCTAGAGCCACTCGTGTGCTTGGAAGATACCCACATTTCTCTCTAGCTCGACGGATATGAGGTTCATCAAAAGCAAGATCAAAGGCAGGACGCAATTCAACACTTTCAGCCTCATTCAATTGAACTTTGCCTCCAAACATGATGAAACCAATATCATTATAGCTCAAGGATGTGAATGCAGCACCATCAATCCGAGTCCTCTCTCTAATCAAGAGATCTCTGTTTCGAAAGCAGAGCGTCTTTGCGTATGCATAAAGATTATCCATCTCTTGAAATTCAGTTCCATTTGGAAGCCCTGGAAACAAATAGATGCCTCTTGCACGGAGATCTCCAAGCATTGCAAGGTTCTGCCTGCCAGGCCCGCTGTCTGCTTTAATCAGAACTCGCAGCAGCGGCACATCTTGGCAGTCTGGGTACAGCTCGCAAATGTGTTGAACCAAATACTTCTGGAAGCCTTCCGCATCCATCCCTCCTTTTGGATTCATTCCAAAGCCAACGTCAAAGAAATGATCTCGGCTGTAGCCAAATCGTCCCTTGGTCTGCCGAAAGCCATCCAGAGTTTTGATTTTGAGTTTGTAATTGCTCTTGTCTTTTGCTTTCGATGGAAATTGGACGTAAGGTGGAAAGACCTCATCAGCAAAGTTAATGCCGTGGATGATGGTCACTTTTGCCCCTCCTTTTGGAGCTGAACTGCCACTCTCAGGGAGGCTGCTTGCTGTTGGCACATGCGAGGGACGACCGCCTCCTCTAATGGATGCATCCATCGAAAAGCCCATTTCATCGAGCTGAAGGACTCGTCTTGCCTGACCCTCATGCCAGATAATGTGTTGACCGGATGTGTTCTCTTCCTCGGAATACGGAAACCTCGCAAATCCGAGCTCAACAGCTGTTTCCTCCCATCGTTGATAATTGGCCTTCTGACACTGATACGTCAACCATTGAACACGCAGCGCCTCTCTTGGGTCTTGCGATGAAAATGACTGTCTCATGGAGTTGTGCTGTTCGATGCGACGAAAGAAGTTTATCTCCCCCATTGGATCGAGCCCATCTGCTTGTCTTTTTGCATTGAGAACAGAGCCAACAATGGTTTGGATGTCTCGTCTCGTATCGCGGGTTTCGGCATTGACTTGTTGGATTGCTGAGTATGTAAAGACGGCAGAGCAAAAATCTTCAAAGACATCATCAGGGATTGTACTTGGTCGCCCTCGACGCACTGGAGACTTGCCAGCATCTCCTCTTTTGACGGCAGAACGAATCTCATTTCCACTGTAGAGTTCGATCCCACAAATCGCCGTAAATGTTGATGCAATCTTTTCTGGGGTATCGAAGATAATGAGAGTATTCCGTCCGGAGCAGACACCATCCCACAGAATAGTCATCGCTTTGAACACTTCACTGCGAATCGATTTGAGCATTTCAATCTCTTTGTTATCAGCATGAGCTGCTTTCGATGTCTTTCGGTGCTTATCAATATTTGCAACAGCTGAAAGCTTGATCTGTTTTTGTTGTGCAACCACCAGAGATGATTTGCTGCTACTACTCGTGCTAACAGAGGCCGCGCCTCCAAAAAATGGCATCTCTTCGAGTGGATACGGGGAGGCCCAGAAGAACATGCTATCATCCAGCGGTTCATCTTGTACGGCTGGCAGCAGTCGCCTTGGAACTGGCTGCGTGCGGGGAGTCTCCAACGAAGAGGATGATCCACTCGGAGATTCAACCATTGGAGAGGCTCGCCTTGCTGACGATGGTGTGGTTGGTGGTAATGGTGATGTGATCATTGCGTCGGGGTGCTCATTGCGTGGAGTGCTAGAATTTGAAGCTGACGTTGACGCTGTTCGAGATCTCTGTGTTAATGGAGAGACGGCGAAACTTGATGCATCATCAATTCCGATTGTGTTCACAGGCGGCGGTCGGTTCCGTTTTGACTTTGTCATTGCCTCCTTTTCTACCTTCTGCTTTCGTCGCAAGCATTTCTGATACTGTGCTCTCCATTTGACAATGCCCTGTTGGCTCTTTGGTGGAAATCCAACAAGCAGCATTGCGTCCACAAGAGTAATTCCAACCAGAGGAGCAACTGGATTTTTGATGATATTGTCTGGGTGGCGCTTCATAACTGCAAGAAGCTGCACTGCTCGACTGACCATTGCATCTTCATTGGTAGATACGTTTGGTGGACCATGCTTCGTGGCATAAGATCTCATCAGACGTCCGAGACTTTCGGTCGATTCATTTGCAGTCGCTTGTTCGACCGGCATCCCAACAGAATAGAGAGCTTTTGATCTGTTAAAGTTGGGAAGCAGCAATCTCACTTTCAGGGCCTCCTTGAGAAGACGGGTTTCGTCGGCCTCCGCCATGCTTGGGAAGCCACTGTGTGGAACAGAGCGGTGGAGCAGAGCAATGGAGGATCACGATGGTGGGAATCCGTAGATCTGAAATGAAAAATTGGGGTGTGTTGATTGTCGTGTTAGCTCGCAAGTCTGGCTTTCCCCTACAACAAGAGGCATCCTCGAAGCATCTGAGAGGACGTGCCGAGCCCAACATGGTCGACCTTCACCTGAAATCCGCGGCAAAGCAAGCGCCATCTTCAAATGATGTTTCGATTGCTTGTTTGTACCAGTACACGTCTATCGATAGTTTGTGTGGTTGGATTCGATTGATTTAAAGTGGAAAGATAAATCTTTTGGTGTTACACTAAATCTTTGAGTCCAATTCTAGGCATGACGCAGATCGAAAGCAAGATTGGTACATAAAAACCTGAGTGCCGTATATGACTAAAAGCAAATAGCATACTGTACACGCGTATACCGTATATCGTATTTAGTCGTTATACGTGTACGTGAAAATTGTGCAAAAGGAGCACTTCACCAACATGTACCGAACGCTATTGGGACGGTTCTTACCGTCAGCAGATCCAAGACCCAAGAACGATGGAGAAACAAGTTGGGAGGGATACAGAGCTACCGGTACAACTGCAATGGAGGTGCGTAGCTACCGGTACCGGTATTTAAAATACCTCGTACCGTTGGACGTGGAGGTTGGGGGTGCGAGAGATCAGCGCGCAAAGACTTGCTCGTCCACAATGTTCGAGGTGCGTTACTAGTACTAACTATCACTGTATCGGTAGCCAGTGGAATGCTGTTGGCTCCTTGTGAAAGTGACCTTTGCCAGCTTTCGGCTTCCGAATTCCAACGCTACTAGCAATGCCTGGTGTTATGGCAGGCTTCGCGAACAACTGGAAGTCTATTCCGCAAAGCAAACTATGTATCGGGCCTGAGTGCAGTCGTAATGGAGGTGCGGCCGGTACTGTATTAATACCGACACTGTAATGGTACGGATATATGGTGCGTTAGAGGTGCGAAGAGAAACGAGCTGATTTTGGCGCCCTTTGGAATTGATCTTGGCCAAGACACCGACGGAGTCAACAAGGTTCGTTCAAGGTTGAGATATGGGATATGGGCACCTCGACTTGACTCGACCACCACTCGCTCGACGGACATGACTCGCAATGTTCAAGGTGCGTTGGTGTGCTGGACCTGGAAGAGCTCGGTTCGTTCATTCAGAGGTTTCCCATGCTAGCTCGCTCCTTGCGTCCGACACTCCACTGAGGCGAGGGCCGGTCGTCCTCACAAAAAGGCGACATCGGGCGTCTACGGGCATCGCAGCATGGCGGCCCAGATCGAAAGGCTACAGTAGTACCAGCATCATCGCTCTTCGACTACAGTTGCAACATTTACCTATGGAATCAGCCAACACGAGAAACTGCTATGACATTGGAGAGGACTGGCTGGAAAGGGGAAACGCTTGAGGGGTTGATGCCAGGTCAAACGCCATGGTGCAGCCAAAGCCAAAGACCCACATGCTGGGCTTCATCGTACAGATTGCAAGGCCAGGATAAACGAGCCTATCATGATGTCTTCTGTCCAAGGATTTCCTAACCTTGGCTCAACAACCGCCCCAATGCTCTAGCATTACGTACGTGAAGTTGTTTGCTCTCGTAACTTACGTTTCACTTGTCATTTTTGTTGATGGTGAGGCAAGAGGCCGTGAGGCCTTGCTTCATCCGTTGGCAAAGGCATTTTCCGTGATCCCGCAAACCATTCCACGAAATCAACTCGAATAAGATGAGTCAGCGCCGACTTGAAGATCGTCAATTCCGGATCCAAACCGAGAAGTTAGAGTTCCTCTTCGTTTTTGAACGAGAATCTGACGCGGGACACTCGGATGGTAAGCGTTGGATGGGGAGTTTGCTGATGTTGGGACTTTGCCTTGTACACTTTTTCGATACTATCTTGACACCTCAACACATTTGTTGATGTGTCATTTGTTACGACAATGCGTCAAGTAAAATTTGTTAAATAAGTTTCTAAAAGTCATTTGGAGTAGCTCAAATCATTTATTGTTCGTGACAAGGACAGGAATGCATCGCAGTTGTCGGAGGTGAAGTGAATTCTTCCTTAAGTAGATCGAACGTTAGATTCGGAATCGGGTGTCTCTCGTTCTACGTGGTGCGAGGCCACGTATGCACATGTTGCAGGAAGCTTCTCGTCTCTTCGACGAAGATGCTTTGCCGTGCTTGGCATCGATCTTCTCATCTTCTCACCTCGCAAGTAATGATCTTGTTTGCCAGCCCAGAAGATTGTTGAACCTTGCTGATCCTTCTCTGCTCTCATTGACCTGGACATTGAAATTGACTCAGCAGTTCGTTCCATCACATCAATATCAACAAAGTAGCTGAAGATGTGCATCTCTGTGGTTAACACCAACGAAAGTGTCGAGCCCCAACCCTCAGAAGAGCGGTTGGTGGGAGTAATGGCTGAATTCAACTGTGTCGAAGAGACACTGGACGGTAGCTCTCAGGGGAAGAAGAGGAAGATGTCCAAAACAGACTCACCGAATTCTTCCACCTTTGATGTAGCCACGCTAATTGATGCCATTCATCGTGAAGTGGAAGGCGACGACGCTCTCCCGTCCGAGGAAGAGCCCAAGTTGGACGGCAATCAGTGGCCCTCCTCCACTAGCTTGAAGTTCTACGATGACTTTGATTTCATTGACTTCGGCGACACGGCCGAGGAGCAAGTAGTCGTCTCGGCTCCTGAGCAGCCAAAGCTTGAAAAGCGAGGATCCCTTGGCAAGCGTAGTCGTGGTCTTGGAAGGTCGCAGACCATCAAGACCTGTCTCTGCCTCTTGGGAGAAGAGTCTTGATGATGCCCTAGTAGCTAACTATTCTGTCTGACCACTCGAGCCCAACAAGCATAAACAAGACAACGGGGAATACACTTATCATACATTTTCATACACCGATACATCATTCATTTTTGAAACGCAGCACACACCACTCTCAAGCAAACCAAAATTCCCAGGGTCCAAGGCACTGAACAAACAAGCAAAAGAAGATCTCATGTAGTATACTATATCTCATGCCACTACTCGCCAGAAGATCCACCAGGGAAACGAACGGGAACAACAAGTTGTATATTATAGAAAGATTGTACAAATTGCGGCCATCATGGCTTGACAACTTGTCTTTTCCCAACACAACACAATGACAGCCTAATACAAACACACACAGCACAGGCTAACTCCTGCTTGGTAATGGATATTAACTGATAATATTCGCGTCTTATTCTATGAAAGATCCACTTGCTATGCAATGTTTTGACTTTCTTTAAAGAGCCTCAGCACTGAGCAACGAACGTCTTGCAAGCAAGGGTCTGCTTTGGTCGGCGAGGCGTTCGTTGAACATATAAAAGTACGGCAAAGGGCGCAAAGCATGCCACAGGCAAGGCAAAGCTACCTGTAGCAAGGGAGCGGATGCTTTGACTATAGCTCATCCACTCCACTAGTAGCATGCTCCTGTGGCACAGCACGACGAAGCAAAATTTCGTGGTTTAAGGTAACCCGCGCTTTCTTGAGTTCGACTTCCCTTGGGCGTTCCTGTCGATCTATAGCTAGCTAGACAAAGATTACAGAGGGGGTGTCAGCAGCTAGCAAGTAGCCTACAGTACCGGTCGTACGAGTACTAGCTAGCTGGACATCATTGAACATGCCATCAGGTGCCTTCTTTGGAAGGAGGACTCTAGTGTTTTGTCATTGGCCCTCGCCAAGCGGCGTCTTTCGAGTGTTCCGACGTGGCCGAAATTGAAAATCGTCAGCCTCGACGCCTCGACAAACTCGTGATTATATTTTTTCTAGATAGTCCATTCCGGTACAATGACTACCGGTACTAGCTACTGGTCTGATACGTCATTCACAAAGTCACCCGTAATATTTTTATTCTGTTGTTTTGATGGAAAAGATCCTGTTGACTCTCAGAACTCAGCGCGAAGCTTGACGATGGCAAAGAAACTATCATAGAGGATCCCATTTCCTTTTACCATTCTCCTTTGACAACAACCATGGAGGACCAGTTTGCGCAGCTCTTGACCAAGCATGGCATTGAACAATGTCACATCCTGGCCATCAATTCCGACAACCAACAACCAGAAATCGATTACTGCCACAAGGATACCACCCAAGATTCCATTTTCCATCTGTACAGTGGCACCAAGCTGTACACAGCACTGGCTGTTTTGTTGCTCATTCAAAGAGAAAAGATCCCATCGTTGGATAGTCTTGTCACGGATGTGGTATTAGACAAAGACAGCAACGATGATGAAGGCTACACAACTTTCTTTCAAAGTGAAGCATTGCAAGGAGTAACCATTCGACACCTCCTCGCACACACGTCCGGTCTGAAGGATACCCCAATGGCGGCATTCTTGGCGGTTCATTTCGAAGGCGAGGACTTGCCTTCCACTTGGGATACCCTTCGGCAATTCCGACTGGTTCGAAAGAGTCCTCCTCCTGCCAAACCAGAATATGCCAATGTCAATTTCTGCATCCTGGGCGAACTTATTACCAAAGCTTCTGGAAAGCCATTTGCCGACTTTGTCCAAGCAGAAATTCTCCCACCCCTTCAAAGCGGGGCAAAATTTCATATTGACAGCAATAGTGATGAGGTTTTGGTAAAAGGCACCATGGGATACTGGACCAGTATTCTTCTCAAGTTGATCAATGATCCAGCAGACTACAAGAAAATCTTTGAGGGAAGCGAGTGGTTGCGAGATGCACGAGCTTACAAACTTCGACGAAACTTTTACATGAACTGCAGTGCAGCAGGTGGATTGTGTGGGACCGCCCAAGATTTCGTGCCCTACCTGCAACTCGTCTTGCAATACTTCCAAGACAACAAGCAGACACCGGATTGGATAGAGGAACACCTTTGGAAAGAGCTCTTTACTCTGCAGGCACAAGGACCGGGTTGCAGTTTGATTTCGGGTGTCGGAATGGGACTGGGCTGGAAGAAGGCCGGTGCCGCGGATGTGCAATACTGGCATCATGAAGGTGGAGGCGGTGGTTTCACCAGCGAGACTCGCATCTATCCAGACGACAACCTTGGCATTGTCATACTGATGAACTCGTGGTCGGCCAACTATGCAGAGTCCACCCTTTGCCATCAGCTCTGTGGACTCATTCGTGAGCACGTCGCCAAGAAGAGGGCTGATCGTGGTGGCGCTGAGGAGAATAATTGATTCAATCATTCATTGAAATCCCTGATGAGGGCTCAAAGGAGAGTCGTCAACGATAGGCTGTGATTCAAAAGGCGATCAAACGATTTTGATTCTACAGATTCATGGATTGTCTTTCCTTGCAACCTTCACTCTCATAGCACGGTACGCGTTAGACAATATTTATTCAATGCTACCTGTAGCTACTGTATTCTTTGCTTGTTTGTGGTACATTCCTCGGTTGCCCCTCGCAGGAAGAAAGATTTTGGTTCTTCGCGCTGGCATTATCCCATGCAGCTACTTGACTGAATGTCAGCCTGTCTAGCTAGCTCACGCAGCCGTTGTGTGATCTTGCCTCGTCAGATTTTTTAGCGTCTGCTTTGATGGTACGGTAGAGTATATCTGCGCCTCTTTTTGGGCAGCTACGGGTACACCTTTTGCATTTCTGATCCTCCAAACTATCCTTCATGATGGCTGCGACTGATTCGATTCGATTCGTGAACGCTAGAATGAATTCGTCCTTTGTTGTGGACGGACGGACGGACGGACTGGAAAGCCCCGAGGACTGGCTTTTCTTCTGAGAACGCCAATCATGCTTTGAGGCCAACAACTTGGAAGTAAGGAATCACTCTTGAACCGGAATCAAACTTGTTTTCAATGCCGTACTATGGTACCAAAAGCTCGTATGGCTCTGGATTGTTTGCACGGCCTTTTTTTAAAGGCTTGCGTGCTTGGTTGGCTGGTTGCTTGATTCATGGTCCGTTGGTGCGTTTGATGATCAGCCTTCCAGTGGCTCGTTGGCAATGGTCCCGAGTGTTCACTTGTAGCTAGCTATGGCTGTGAATGATCGTCCTCGTTTGGCGGATCATCCTCGTCTTGTGTCTCGTCCTCTTCTTCTTGTTGTTTTGCATCCTTCCACGTGGACGCGGTCGGTGGAAACATTCGTTCCCATCCGGTTCGAAAGTGTTGCATATCCTCCAAACTGACATAGTATCGTGTATCGCCCAAGGCGGCTTCCATCCATGCCATCATGTCTTTTAAGCTGTCTCGATCCACTTTGACTTGTGGTGGCAAACGCTCCAACAGGGATTCCTCCACAGTGGTCGTGTCGTCCAGTGTGTGCCCCTGCACAACACGGAGTGCCATGAGCATGGCCGTCATCAGGATGCAATGTACCGTGTCCGATGTACAAAAGGGACAGGGTGGAATGCCATTGGACCGTGGTGTTTCCACCGATGTAGCACGATCCAAGTAAATCATGGCCAAGGACAAGACAATGGATTTCTCGTGGTCATCATTCACTGTTTGGAGCAGTGTGGACACCAAGTCTTTCAAGCTGATATCGCGTGTGTTGGTGTTGGCATGATGAAAGACGGTTTTGTGGGGTGGTGTTTCGATGCGTGGAATGTTATGGGGTTTTGGCATGCCCCATCCTGTGGCCATGACGTTGCTCTGTCGATGATTGTGGCGACTGTTGTAGAGGAGACGATCATTGAGAAAGGCAGTTCGTCGAAGAGCTTTAACGACATGTTGAGTTTTCATGTCGGGTGGTCTAGCGGCTTCGGCAGCTTCTTCTTCTTCTTGTCGTGTCAATGTTTGTTGTTGTTGTGGATGAAGTGGTTCGGGGTGGTGCTCCTCTGGGTGCAGTAAGGACGACTGCTGTTGATGTTGTTGATGATGATCCATGTCGAAGGAAGAAGAAGAAGAAGGTTGGTGTGGCTCATGGTGATACACATCCTGTGACGCTGGGAATGCTTGGTAGACATCATGGTGATGTTGTGAGTGCCATTCCGATGATGCAGATACGGCTCCACTGGTCGTCTTAGGGCCCGAGGAAGAGAACCACAGTATCATCAAAGCACTTCCCACTCGTCTGTAGCAAAAGCTGCCAGTCACCCTCATCTCTGTCGGTCTTTCCTTCATATCATCAACAATGGAATGGAAGGAACCAACACAACAGTCCTCCAACCAACAACGCAACGGTGGTCCGATCCAATGCCAGTAGACTATGAACCACGTGGGAACTAAAGTAAGTGTGTTGTGTGTCGTTGTTGGCCATTGTCAAGATTCAATCATCATTCAGTTTGCGTTCGACAAAAGCTCCACGAGGAGATCCACAACGCAGTCCCTAGCAAGTTCAGCCACTAATGACGTCATTCATCCAACGTCAACAAAAGTGACGAGTTTTGGCTCAACTCTCCTCCCACCCACCCTCCATTTTTCTTTAGAAAGCCATCATCAGATACGGTAGATCTATCCACCGGTACAGTACCAATCTAGACTATCATCTATTCATTCATCTCTCTGGGTCCAAGGCACACGACAATAATAATGATGTCGCTTCGAAGAAAACAGCAATATCTGTCCCTCTGGTGGACTCTGTCTGTGGTTTGCCTGCTATTGGCCGCCAACAGTCAGGGTTTCTCCCCGTCTCTGCCAGCGTTGACGACGTCCTCCCACAGAACAGGCAGTGCCCTATTGGCCAAAAAGAAGAAAAAGACCCCCAAAGCGTTATCCTCTCCTGGCGGTGGCTTTGGTTCTGCCACATCCGCTTCTACCGGTCCACAAGTCCGCGCCGTGACAGGTCATACCGGCAGTGGCACCAAACCACTCCGACAAGCCGCCAATACATTTGATGCCCTTCGCAAAGAATTCGGGACGGAAGTCTGTCGCGATGTCTACGTACGAGCTCCTCTCAATGACGAACAAACCTTTTGGTTTGTGGGAAAAATCGCCATTAATCCCAATAAAGAAAGTGTGACACCCGACATGGCTGTGTTGTCGCAAAAACGATTGATTTTGGAATATGCCAAACATCAATTGCGACCGCAAAATTTGGGTGGAAAATTTGAAACCGGTCAAGAAATCTGGTTGGCACCGGGCGATTCCGAAATGGAAGTCGTACAAAATAAAATTGGACTGGATAAAGTCTCCGGATCGGCCGCCGATCTGCCACACGATTTTGTCGTCAAGGAAACGGTGGGATTCAATCCGGAAATTTACGTGGGAGACGAAGTCCAAAAGGGTGGATTGCGGGTCCAACGAGATCCCATTACGGGGGCACCCCTGAAACCCGTTTTTGAAGTCAATGAGAGTGTGTAGTGACATGTGAAAATGTTGAATGATGATGGTGTCGCAAACTAGACGAACCGAAAGAGAAGCGAGAGACCCAAAAAGTCGAATCAATCAAACAACCAACATGAAAGCGGTAGGAATGGTCGCCATGAATCAATCTACGTTATGTGATATTCTAGGCCCCGTTCATCAACAACCTATATTGCAAATGCACAGTTTTTAAATAATGCTCAGAATCTGCTTTCAGTGTCGGGCATGCTTTAGCTCATCTTTTGCTTTGTGTGGTGTCATGTCATTGCGTACCGCTATGTCTATTCCTTCTTGACCACTATATCGTCAAACATGTCATCATCCACTGCGGCATCAAACGGCAATGCAAAATACTCGTCCACATTGAACTCATACGTATGCGTTCCATCCAAGAACGGCTCCAACCGAGCCGGATCTCCACCCAAACTCTCCATCCAAACATCCTTATTACCGGATGTACACATGACAATCTTTTCTTTGGTATGAGCATCCACAAAGGGTCGTACAGTGCCCCAGAATGCCTTGAACCAAAAGGGTGCATTGGTCAAATAAAAGCGATGACATCGTTCGGGATAATGCCGTTGCATAATATCCAACGTGTACTTGTTGGTACTGAGCGGTGGAGCATTCCACAAACTAAATCCCGTGTAATCAATGACAAAGGCAATTTTGGAATATCCCTGACGCGTCGAAATGGCAATGGCTTTTTCCATATTCCACACCAAATGACGCATATTGTTGGTTTCGTGTTTGGTGTTCTCTCGAGAGGGTTGCATGTACACTACCGCGCGACCATCCTTGTCGTACCCACGGACGTAAATCTTGCCCGTGGCATCTTCTTGACGCAAAATTTCTTGAAATTCAGCTGCTGTCAGTCGATCTCCTCCTTCCTTGTCATTGTTGGCTTCTGCTTCGTCTTTGCGGAAGCAATCTCGTAGCGTCACCACTTGAAATTCATCTCGCCATTTGATAGTAGCCTTGATTTGCTTCAATGCCTTTTTAACGTTTCCCTGAACACAAAACACAAGACATGATAAGATAAACACCCCAATAAAATTATGGGCCAAACACAACCAGCGTACCTTTTCGGCTCGAAAATGACGGAGTGGCATTTCATCGTCCGCCAGTGCCGCCTTTTCTTCCTCCGTCAGCCCTTCCAAGATGTCCTTCACACCTTGTGCCTCCACTTCAGGCTCTAGATTGCAATTGATGTCGTCCTTGGTCATGGTTTGCTCGGCTACAACGTGTTATGCTACCGTACTTCGAAAAGGACTTACTTTGACGACGAACCTTGTGGAAGCAGCCCAAAAAATGAGAGAAACGGCCACATGGAATTACAGCGATCCTGCAAATCTAAGCCAACGAAACCGTAAATAGTTTACGTGTGGCTCTGGCCACAATGCACCGCATCGAAGGATCAGCCCAAAACAACCTCATACCACATCAACGAAAGCAAACCACCGTTCCTGGGCAGCTTCGCATCCCGCTTTTTATTTTAAAATGAAACAATCTCTATCATATTTTTACACTGTATCCTAGCTAGCTAGCCCTCCTTTTTTCAGAAAGAAGAACTGCTGCATTTTTCTAATGCGCCGAGTAGCGGCTCCCATCCATGCCGTCATCGTCGTCACCGGAGGCATCCAAGTCGTTGCGAGAATTGTTAAGTCGCCTGTACAAGCTCTGCCTATGTTCATCATCATCATTGTCATCACTTTCACTTTCTACAATTCGCCGTAGCTCTTCCTTGGCCTCCTTGGCGGCGTACGTTTCTTCCACCCGCTTCTTCATGCGCTTGCAGAGCTCTTCGCCTCTCTGTTCCCATTCGGCTCGATTCATCTCGGCATAAGTCAAATACTCATCACTGGAAACACCAAAGACTCCACATTCCCTCAGCTTTTTGGCCAAGGGAATTACATAATTGTCGTAGAACCAAAGCTCTCCTTTGTACCACCCATCCGATGGATCCTTCTCCGCTCTACCAGCCTTGTAGGCTGCATACATCTCCTCATACAACCGCTCATTCCACTTGATGTAGACATGCCAGTGTTGCATGGTGTGGGAAACATCCGATGCTTGAATCACGTGCTCCAAGACAATTGTTGCCTTTGTATTCATGTCATCTTGCCGGAATGATTTGTTCATATGAGCAGCAGGCACCGAAGTTTCCTCTTCCTTCTTTTCATCCGAGGGATGGAAGGTGAGATCCCACATGAGATTCCGTTTGGCTTTGAGGTCCTTTTCAAAAATGTCAGTGGCCAGAACACAGTGAATGAGGAGTTGTCGGAAGCGCTTTTGTTCACTTTCGGTAGCACAAATGCATTCGCGGAAGTGCTTGTACTTTGGCAGCATCAACAGCTCCAGTGCAACATCCACAGATCTCTGCTCTGCTACACTTTTGTTGTTGTAGAGCCCTGCAATATCGGGAAGCTCCTTGGCCATTTGCCCATTGGGAACACCTTCATGGCCTACAAGCAAACAGTGGTAGGTTAGCACACATAAAAGGATCCTCCTTATTCAGAGACAGATGCAACTTACCAACATCATGAATCAATGCAGCAAAGACAACAGCAAACTGAGTCAATGGATCACTGCTGATTCCATAGGTAAAGTGGTGCAAATCCAAGGTGGTAATCCCTTCTTCATTGTTGTTGTGACCATCTGCATAGGCAATGCGTTTCAAGAGTTTGGTAGCCGATAAAATCACATGGCTTGCATGTTCGAAATTATGAAAGGAATTCTGTTAAAATTCATCATCATCAAAAGATGAGAAGAAGACTGATGTGAGTGTATCAACATTGCAGACTGGCAATGCAACATTCTGGAGGGTGTGATCGTACCTTTCGGTAACCGGAAGCAATGGCAGCCACATAGAATCGCAGTTCCGTGACCACCACCGCAGGCAAATCAACTTCTTCGTGGTGGGCCCTGGCAACTGCATCTGCATTGTAGGCTGGAAGTGGAACGGCCATGCTCAGCTCACCAATGAAACTTCTTGCCTGCCCTAGCCTGGGTTGCAGACCACGATGATTGCTAGGACTCATCTGAGGGTCTCGACTGGCTACAACTCGCTTCAGAAGCGACGACAGTGCGCCCGTGTTCCACTCGACAAGTCGTTCCAACGAACGACTTAACTTTGTCTCCCCAATTACCCCCATCAAGACTTGTTCCGGACCACCCATATTCAGTGTGGACATGGAGACTCTCGGTGCCCGTTTGAATCCGCGACGTAGGTGCGCCGCTTCTTCCGTACTAAACTCACCACTGTCGACGGCAGATGAGTCCCCACAGGAACTATTGCTCATTCCCGATGCCACAGAAGCAGATGATTGTCCAATCTTTAGCCAATATGTTTGCAAATCGCCTTTTCCTTTTGCGTGAACCAATTCATCTCGAGGGACAACCCAGTTACCCTTGCCCCGTTTCTGTAGCAAGTTGGCTGATGCCTCTGACAAGTGGATCTTGTTCTTGATTCCTGTTGATTCCATTCTTGCGGCTGCAATTATATAATATGTTGAAAGACTGTTAGAACATGACTTGGTGAATTTTCTGAAGGACAACAGTCAAGAACCCCTTACCAAAATTCATTGTCTAGGAAGCGAAAACCGTGGAGAGAGGGGGGAGTTAGACCACAATCTTTTCGCTTGGAAAGGGGCAACTCTGGCTGGATGAACGTACATCTCCAAACAACTGGAAGCGGGCCTTCTCGCCCCTTAGCACTCCAGCCTTTTATCATCATTGCAAACAAGACAAAACAGATGTCAGCACAACATCCTTCAGTGTTGCCCTCATTCGCAAATATTGCATTGCCGGTCCTTACCGTGACAGGGCCACTGTGGATTCCAAAACGCAGAGCCAATTCGGCTGTTCCAGGACCCAATGTAGCCTCTAATGCCTTGGCCAGTTCTGAAGTTCTCAAAAGTGATGTACGAGCAAATCTAACCAATGCTTCGAGGTGATCTTCTCGAGGGTCTAGTAGTAGTGGCACCGTATTGGACGACAACGAGACGTGGAGGGTAAGCCAGAAGTCCATTTCGAGGAACGTGAAAGATCAAGAACAACACAATGCCAACCTACCTGGCAGTCCCGTTGCAGCAACGTAGCAATCCCCTGTCATGCACGAAGAGTGGGCAAAGAAAAGAGGGATTGATCAGAGCCATCTTCTTTGTAAAGCGACTGACGTGATGGTTGGGGTTGTGGCATTGACTTACCAATCTTTTGGTATCGAAGAGAAGGAGAAACGATGAGACAAAATAACGAAGACAGGTGAGGATTGAGGGAATTGTTATTCGTTTCTTTGCTTTGCCGTTCACCTGGCCGAGATTCGCTTTCCCAGTAGCTTACCGTCTCAACTTTGAAGATACGAAACCTTATCGAAAAGAAGGCAAACGACGAGACGAGTAACGAAGGTAAGTGACGCTCGTGTGAATTGTGTTTCATTTCATCATCTCTCTGCCGTTCCACACGACGAGATTGCACTTGCTATAATAGTTGCGTTTGTTGTTCCCTCTCTTACCTTCGTGCAGCTTTATCCATGGATCTGTACAGTGTCTCTAGCAGTCGGAACACCTGACTCGGATCCCGTTCACTGCTCCATGCCGTGAACCCTACGTGAAAAAAGCAAAAGCAAGAACGAGGGTGAGATAGATGCGTGAATTCAATTGACTCGTCGAGGAACCTCGTGCACTGTTTCGTTACTCACCAGAAATATCGGCAAACATGACGGATGCATTGGGGAACAAATCGGCAATTGGTTCACTATCATTGATATCGAGCAATCCATCAATGCCATCTCCGGGATGCAGAAATGACTTGAGTCGTCGTTTCGGTGTATGAATGACGGGCGCCAATCCTGCCCGTGATGGTGGTGGTGGCAGTCGCTCGTCATGCGGTGCCGTCTCTTGTTGTAAATTCATCTTGTACGCTTTCTTTTGTTGTTTTTTGCGTGCTTTGCGTTGTTTGGCGGCATTTTCGAGCAATTGTGCCTTGACATTGGACGGAAAGAGATTGCTGACAAGTGCATCGGTGCGTTTGGCGGTTTCAACGACCCGATTGGATCGTTGTTCGACGGCACAATCGTAGCAGATGAATACGCCAATGGTGCAGAGAAAGACTCCCAGAAAAATCCATCGGGCCCACATGGGTGCATTGGACAAATAGGAATCGCGCAATTCTTCCGTGGCACAGACGCGGAGGCGGTAGTGACAAAGAGATGTTGTGTTGGAAGTTGTCGTTGTTGTATTGTCGTATTGCATCACGGCTGCGAATTGTGCAAAGGTGGAATTGACCGAATAGGGAGCACTAAATGTGGTGGGATCGTCGCTCCAATCCCCGACCCCCACGTAGCTGACTTGATTTTGGGCATTGTATTCAAAGGAGAATTCCTTAGTATTATTGGGGATGCCATCACAGGAACTCTCGACGACCACGAGCAGTGTGGCATCATCCTTCAAATCATTCTCTTTGAGAATGTCTTGCAAGAATCCCGTCCAGGAAAATTCGAAATAAATGGCGGCGACGAATGGGTCAAGCAGAGTTGTTGGAATTGCATGATAGAGTCCGGCGTGGGGTGTCGTGTACTCGACATAATCGGTGCCATTGGCCGTGTGAAAGAGAAAATCCGAGAGGACACCACTGGGTTGTCGTGTCATGGCGCGCAAAGCTTGTGCTCGAATGGGTGTCGACATTTGATCAAACATACGCACACCGTTATTGGAGGGTTGTGACAATTGCCACAGTGGAAAGATCATGTCTCGTCGTTGTGGTTGTTCCAGGTCAATGGCTTGTCCATGTTCCATGCGATAAATGCCATCCATGACGGTTCGATTGGAGTCTATATAAAAGACCGTGTCTTGTTCTGATAGTTGTTGTTCTGATTCGGAAGAAGAAGAAAACGTCGAAGGAGAATTGGAGTAACCGTGTATATCGGTAATGACCGCTTGATATTGTTTCCCTTCGATATAACCCGCATAGGCTTCCCACAGTTGTCTCGTATCGGGCGTGACGAGTGGCGCGTACGTGATGGCCGAAGCACCAGCGAGTTGTTGCGCTGTTTCAGTTTGTTGTGCAAAATCGGCAAACGTCACGTAGGGCCATTCGGCTGACATTTCGTCGGCTTGATAGTGCAGCGATTCCGCCAGACTCTGGGCGACCAATCGACGATCGTCCAAACGATCCAAAAAGCCCTCAATCAGTTCTTGACCGAATCGTTCAAACTCGGACGCAAACGTCGACTCTTGGTTGAGTCGCACCGTAATAAACAGAATTTCGGCACCAATGGTCCCGATAGTAATCATCAAGGCAAACACAAATGTCCGAATCACATTCATCATGCGCAATTCTTGCTTTACCACCGCAAACGATGCCGAGTCGGCCATGGAAACAACACTGTCGCTATCACCACCTTGACTGTCCAAGTCACCCGCTGCAGAAAAATCGTCGTCCATTTTGCTAGTTGTTGTATACTGTTGTATGATATGGAGAGGAGAAGAGAGGTTGGTATGGCTTGAGCAGCAATTGCTGGAAGCGGAAGCGAAGGATGTGCAGAGAGGTTGTAATAGACTTCGCACAAGCAACTACAGCAACCGGAATGACAGTGACACACCAAGAAAGAGGGAAAAGCACTTTCAAGCCACTTCAAAAGACCTCGGTGAAAAGCATGTTGAAACAGGCCACGAGAACGCAGGAAATTTGAACTGGACATCTTTGTGGATGACTGGTCTACGTGATTACAGTAGTTGGAGAAACGGAAGCACCCCTTTTACAGTACAGCATGTACAGTAAAGCTCGTCAGCACCAATAGTCTTCAGAATGTATTCCCATCAATCCCACTTTAAAAGGAGAAGTCACCGTTCCTAGAATTAACAAGAACTCCACCCTTTTATGTCCAGTACTCTTGGAGCAAAGTCTGCCCACTCTGATTGAATTATCGGATTACACACCTCCCTGTCCGCGAAAAAGCTACTGAGTTTTCACTCTAAATCTACTTTTCACTGAAAAGTTCAAGACTTCTCTAGAACTGGTTTTTGCCAGTCATTGACTGGTTCACACGAACACAGCTTTGGCCACTACAGTATGTCCGAAGCGGCAACACACTAGTCTAGTCCACATGTACCGGTATGTAATAAATCTAATTGCTTCCTCACAACATCACTACTGTAATGCCCGGAAGCAGTGCGTTTGTGCGTTTACCGATCGTCATTGTTGCTATTAATTATTCAATAGAGAATAGAGTAGCTACGGAGCTTCTAGTTGGTTCGAACCTAGCTAAGAAAGCTATTGCTTTAATTAATGTGCCTTAGGCTGTTTATTCAATTGCGAAATGGCCAGAGAAAATCTGCGTTAAGGAGGAGATACAAAAGAGCTTACCAAAGCATGATTGCAGGGCCATTCTTGAATGGCCCTGTCTAATTCATTTCGGTGGAGTCAGAAGCAACACTCCCCGGCCACCACTGCCGAGCTGCCGAGAAGGTCTCCTTTTGGAGCGGTGGAGGGCAGGATTGCAGGGCAATCGCGGCCGGGGCCAACCGATTCGATTCCCACTCCCACACTTCCCAACCTGCATTCGTCTGCACCATCAAACCCTGAAGCTCACCACTCGCCGCCATGGACGGTAGAGTGAGTGACTCGACTCGAGTTGCCAGGTGCCAAGTGGCTGGACCTCGCGTACAATCGGGCCTTGTTTATGCTTAGCTGCGTTCCCTGGTCATGACCTACATGGATTAGAACTTTTGGGTCTTCGCATCGTCTCTCTCTATTACTTTTAATATAATGAAGGTGCCGCCGAATACGGCCTTCTCGCTCGAATCAGAGTCCCAAGTAAATCGCCTCGGCTCCAGGGTGGCTCTACGGGCGGTCTCATGTTGTTGAATTCTATGAGCTATTCTATGCTTCCTCGTTCGAGCACCGTGGTTGCTTCGCGTACTGCCGTTTCTTCGTGGCATATTTCTCCGGCAGCAGCCAGTCCGCATCGACGGAATGTAACAACATTGAAAGCAAAGCCAGTGCTGCAAACACAGACAGCACAACACGTGCAAGGCGCAAAGCTACCGGAAAGAAATCTCTGTATTGAAGATACTAGCTAATTATGTATGTTTTTTACGCATGTCAAAGTTCATGTAGCGCCACTGGCATCATCATCGTGGATCTGACTCGAGTGCAATCAATGTTCTTTGTAGCTGTGATGGCTCTCGTCGTTGTCCTCCTCTTCCCCCTCTTCCAAGAGATCGGCGCTTTCCTTGTGGAATATTTCGCGGTATCCACGCTCATCACGTTCCCACAGAATCGACCGCCTGTCTCGCTTCTTTTCCCCTTCTTTTTCACACCTGAACTTCATCTTTTTGCAGATCTCTTCCCCGCGTCGTTCCCATTCATCTCTATTTTGTTGGGCATAGGTCAAATACTCATCACTAGAGACACCAAAAACCCCACACTCTTTGAGCTTCCTTGCAAGTGGGATCACATAGTTGTCATAGAACCAAAGCTCTCCCTTGTACCAACCCTCAGAAGGGTCCTTGTCAGAGCGCCCTGCCTTGTAGGCGGCATACATCTCTTGGAACAGTCGCTCATTCCACTTGATGTAGACATGCCAGTGTTGCATTGTGTGTGATACATCAGAGGCTTGGATGATGTGCTCCAAAACTATTGTGGCCTTGCAGTTCATGTCGTCTTCAGCGGGGCTTTCTGCAGGAGCTTTATGGAAGGCCTGTTCCCAGCGCTGGTTTCTCTTTGCCTTGAGGTCCTTCTCAAAGATGTCAGTAGCAAGCACACAGTGAATGAGAAGCTTCCTGAACCGTGCCCGGCCAATTTGATCGCCAAAGATGCAATCCCTCAAGTTCTTGTACTTTGGTTGCATCAGCAGCTCCAAAGCCACATCAACAGACCGTTGCTCAGCAATGCTCTTGTTGTCATACTGAGTGGCAATTTGTGGGAGCTCCTTGGCAAGCTGTCCATTTGGAACACCTTCATGGCCTGCAAAGAAAATAGTAGGCAAGCAAATGTGGTTTGTGTTAGTCACCATTACAAACACTTTGGGAGAAAAAGGGCTTTCCTGTAAACGCCAGACTTTCCACTCACCAACATCATGAATCAATGCAGCAAAGACAACTGCGAACTGAGTCAGCGGATCACTGCTGATACCATATGTAAAATGATGCAAGTCTTCAGTAGTGACACCGTGTTCTTCATTTGCATGACCATCAGCATAGGCGATTCTCTTCAAGAGTTTGGTAGCCGATAATATCACATGGCTTGCATGCTCAAAATTATGAAAGGAATTCTGGAAAGTTCATATTCATAGATGCGTGGGAGAAGAAGAAGGTGAGCTTTATATAATTGAAGTGGAGGGGATGCATCTCCGGTGGCCGTACCTTTCGGTAGCCAGAAGCAATGGCAGCAATATACATGCGCAGCTCGAAACGAACTTGACGCGGAAGTTGGAAGCCCGATGTGTCATGTATCCTGGCTACAAGTCCGGCGTCATACTCGGGCATTGGCACAAACAACTCCATCTCATCCATGAAACTTCGGGAAGCCCCTGCTGGGATATCTCGCGAAGAGCTATCCTTCTGCAACGGCTCCACTGAACCACCCCGGCTGACAACAACCTTCTCCAGGAGGGAAAGAAGAGCACCAGTGTTCCATTCTACAAGGCGGTCAATGGAACGATTCAACTTGCTTCCTCCGATAACACCCATTAGGACTGCCTCAGAGGCTCCACCACTACACACTGGAGCACCCAGAGGAGATTGGATGGCCACAGTATCCTTGGTCATAAACTCACTGCTGCTCACAGAACCAGAGCAACTGCTGGCTGCAGTCGAAGAAGCACCAGAGGCCCCCGTCAACAACCAGTAGGTGTTAAGTTCACCTTTGCCTTTAGCAAAGACAGTTTCCGCCCTCTGGGAAATCCAATGTGCTTTCCCACGCTTGACGAGAATGTCAGCTGTAGCCTGTGATAGATGGATCTTGTTCGGCACTCCTGTTGATTCCATTCTTGCAGCTGTGGGCACAAGGAAGGGGTTTGTTAGAGGATTGAATCCATAGCAGAAGGCAGTTCACTCGATGCGAACGAAGTCTTACCAAGATTCATTGTCTAGTAGGAAAATGAAACCATCAGCAACATAGAGAGACAGGGCAGATTAGGTCAAGCTCTTCCAAGGCAGTCCTCTCAGAGCAAACTCGAATTCTTACATCTCCAAACAACTGGAACCGTGCCTTCTCGCCTCGAAGTACTCCAGCCTGCCAAGTGTTGCAAACATGATAAGGAATCAGCATAACACTCCACAAGATGTCACTGATGCCTCCAGCAAACTGCTGGTGCTTACCGTGACAGGACCACTGTGGATTCCAAACCGCAGGGCCAATTCAGAAGTTCCTGGGCCAAGGGTAGATTCCAAGGCATTGGTCAATTCATTGGTGCGAAGGAGTGATGTTCTGGCAAAACGAGTAAGAGCCTCGACGTGGTCGTCACGTTGATCTGGAGAAGAATGAAATTACAGTCCGTCAGGGTCGACTTCTCCCTGAATGTTTCAAAACGAGGCCAACGTACCTGGCAATCCGGTGGCAGCGACATAGCAATCCCCGATCTGTGACGAGGCAAGCATTGCACATCCAACAGAGTGAGCAAAGTTTGAGAAAGGATGCTAGGGGCCACGGATTGAGAAGCCTGGAAATGCTTACCGTCTCGACCTTGAATACCCTGAACCTTTATCCAAAAGAAGCAAAAGGACAAGACAAGTAACGAAGGTAAGTGAGGATCGTGTGAATTGTGTTTCATTTCATCTCTCTGTCGTTCAACACGGCGAGATTGCACTTGCTAGTTGCGTTTGTTGTTCTTTTTATTGTGCTCCTCTCTTACCTTCGTGCAGCTTTGTCCATGGAGCGATAGAGGGTTTCCAACAGCTTGAAGACCTGGCTGGGGTCACGTTCACTGCTCCATGCGGTAAAGCCTGGTCACGCATTATGAGTGAAAGGGAAAGCATGATGTGCGACAGGTAAGATCTTCGAACCATGAGGAGTGGGATGGACACATTTAACGAGCAAACACACACGTACCCGCGACATCGGCAAACATGACCGAGGCGTTAGGGAATAGATCTGCAATCGGTTCTGCCTCATTCATTGCACCGGTGGCCACCATATCAGCCTCCTCGGGATGTAGAAAGCTCTTGAGACGTTGCTTGGGTGTGGATATGATGCGCATTTCGCCCGAGTCCGGGGCTTGGCCTTCCGTAATGCTGCCTCGATGGTTGAGTTGCCAAATGGAAACCCGCTTGGCCTCCAAATGCTTTTGGCGCTCCTTTTCATGGCTCTCCAATAGACGCTGTTTGACGGATGAGGGGAAGAGTGTGCTCACCAATGCGTCCGTTTTCTTGGCGGATTCCACGACCCTGTTGGATTGTTGATCGACAATGCAGTCATACACCAAAAAGACTCCCACCGCAAAGAGAAAGATTCCCAAGACGATCCAACGGTAGATTTCTGGCTTGTGGGTCATGAAGGACGCCTTGAACTCTTCTGTTGCATACACGGAGAGGCGGTACTGGCATGGAAGTTGAGGGGGAGAGCTGGTATCGTTGGCTGAAGCGTCGGCGTCGGAAGATGGAAGTATGATTTGGCGGAATGCTTCATACGTCGAGTTGACCGGGGAGGGAGCACTGAACGTTTTGGGATCTGGGGCTAGATTGCCTGCACCCATGTAGGAGGCGTTGATGCCCTGAACTTGGAAGGAGTACTGACGGCCACTGCAGGAAGATTCAGCCACCACGACAATGGCTTCCACGTAATCGTCCAAAATATCGGCCAGGAATGTCTCCCACATGAACTCCAAGTCCACAGTGGCAACCACAGAGTCTTCATTGGCAGAGTCATAGACGGGGGCGTAGAGAGCAGCCCGAGGAGTGCTGTAGTAGGCATAGTCCGTGAGGTTGCTATCGTAGATCAAAAAGTCCGTGTAGACTCCACTGAGTGGCTGCGGGGGTTTCGTCATAAGCACGTTGAGAGCTTGGGCACGGATCGGGTTGGACATTTGATCGTACATGCGAATGTCAGAGCCATTGACCGCCGACTCTGGAGATCTCTGCCAGAGGGGAAAGACGTCGGTATCATTGCCTTGTGGTGGCAGATCGTGTGCTTGCCCATCCTCAAGGTAGTAAATGCCTTCTATGACGGAGCGACCAGTTTGCAGAAAGATGACCGAGTCTTCATCTGTGTCACTGACACGAAAGTCATCCGTGTGATTGGATTCGAGCGTCCCCTCATGGTCCATGTACGCGGCATACGCCTCCCAGCGCTTTCGAGTATCTTCACCTTGGATCCAAGGAGCATAGGTGACGGCCGAGGCATCTGCCAGCTGCCTTGTCCCGGTGCAGCGCCTTTCAAACTCGGGAAAGCTCACGAACGGCCAAACCGACTTCATGTCCGAGGCTTGCACGGTGAACGAGGTGCTGAGAGAGTCAGCAGCCACCAACCGGGTGTTCACTTTCTCGTAGAAACCCTCAATGATTTGGTTGGCGTAGGTATGGAACCTGCTCTTGAAGACGTCCTCTTCGCCGAACCGGACCACCACGTAGATCACCTCTGCCGTGATGGTAGAGAAGGTAATCATGAGGGCAAACACAAAGGTTCGCACGACCTGGAGGTTCAAGAGGAATAGAGCATTGAGTGTAAGAGGTCTCCCAAGTAAAGCCACGCTCAACATGACATAACAGTCTGCATCCAGCAAAGGTCCAAGACTTACGTTCATCATCTTGATCTCTCGCTTCACTTCCGCAAAGGATGCTGTGTCTGCCACAGAGACATCTCCAGAATTGCTTTCCAGGTCGCCATCAGCTGAGTAGTCGTCGTCCATGGTTGCTGCGGTTGGTTGAGTTTAGATACTTCGTAGTCTGCTAGCTGAAAGATCGCTGTAAAAGTGAGCAAACCAGAAAGGAGTCAATGGCTGCAATCTGTGCTGTGCGGTGTGAGCTGGAAGAGTTTTCAAATTGTGAGAACCGCAAAAGCTCCCGGTGCCGGTAGTTATCCTCCGGTCTTCAAAGTTCCGAGTTACCAGGCATTAGGCATTTAGCATCCAAATCCAGAAGCGCCGAAACCAAAGACGGAGAATGACACCTGTGGTAAGACCTTCCAGTGTCCAGAAACCAGAAAGCGAAGAGGCCTTGGTTCCGGATTCCGTATAAATCCTACACAAACACACCTGAATAATTGTTAAGAGTCATTGTACTTTCTCACAAGAAGATCTGAGTCCTTGCGTGGATTCACGCACTACCGGTCTTATGTATTTGAAAGGGAAGTGAAGAGAAAGGAAGGGCCATATCAATCGAAAAGTAACTTCCTTCAAGTTCTGGAAGTTGTGACCAACACACAATCTACAGATCAATCTACCTAGTCTACGGATTCAGGAGCATTAGTCTTTCTCGCCTTTGCTCAGCAAATTTATTTGGCAATCCCCGAGGGAAAATACAAGGGGTTTCAGTTGGGATTTGTGGGCTGATTTGTCCTCCAAATGTATTGAATGCACCAGTACTTTATGAGCTATTAACAACCACCGCCCCTCTGGACAACGGTGCACCTGCCCTCTTCCGCTAATCTTGACCCTTTTTCTCCCTCCCGGCTTCCCCTACTGTACCGTATGGTGCCTCCTTTCGCCCTTTCTCCCCCCCACGGTATGCTTGATCCCCCGCCCCCGACGCCCTCTCCCTGAGCTTTGCCACCACAGGTGCCTGCTCTCTGCCAAGCTTATTAGCCCCCTCGCTCCTTAACCATCTTTGAGTCATTAAATTTTGTTTCCAGCTTCTAGCTACTAGCTGGAAGCGAACTTCTGGATTTCTCTTCAGTGTCACCGAAGCTCGAGAGACGAATTTTCCGAATTTAAACATTTGGATGAGCAAAGAACAATTGATTCGAAATCCGTAGGTTGGGAAGTGAAGAGAAAGGAAACTCACTTTCTAGTATACAAATTGAAAACTATTTCTGAAAAGGTGTGACAGAGCTTTACAGCTGCTGGAAAGCAGATTTAATTAAGCGACAAGTCCTGGTGGAATTAGTAGAGTGCTTTCGTTGAAGTCATTGAATCAACTATTAATAAATCTGCCTGTAAAAGGTTTCACGACTTCACGACCTTCTGAAACTACCGGTACTGTCCATCGGTTCCACGATCCATCATGCCTCGACCTCGGCGAATGTCACTCGACTGCTCTATCTGTCGACATAATATCATACATACATACAGTAGTCTACAGTGTACATATTTATTTTGTCACTCAAAGCTCACTCAACCAGTGGTCGCGACCTGGTAGCGTCACTGTTCAGTGGTTGCGTCGTGTTCTCTGGAGATCTTCTGGCTTCTCAGAAGCCTTTTCGGAGATTCTTGATTATTTATTAATTCTTGATCCTCAATACCACTTTTACTCGAGTACATGTACCAGGTGGTAGACTACCTAGCTCCTACATTGTGCTTTGACACTTTGACAGGCCCCGCATCCCCACAGCCCGAGTAACTGGCCAGATTGCAAGCTCCACACTCCACACAGCTCAGCGCTCAGACACACAACACAACATTGCAGCTGCTGGGAGGAGGGCAGAGGAGGAGCTAAGGAACTAAGGAGGCCACATTCATTTATTACTATCCAGTTTGGCCTTCCTCGAGTTGGAAACTCGCCACTCTGCAACTCGACCGTAGACTGCTCGACTACTCCTCAGCATCAGCAGAAGGTTGTTGAACACCATTCAAACAGAGCCTACTAGCTAGCCAGTACTCCTGTAATAAGAGTGGAAAGCATACGATGGTTACAGTTCCTTCCTTGGGCTTCTGGATTTTGTCTGACCACCGAAAAGAGCAAACGGTTTAGATACCTGTTCCTAGCTACTGGTTCCGCATTGAGCTGGCTTCTAAAGTTAGAGTACTGTTAGAGTCATGGTGATACATGTAGCTGTTTGGAAAAGAATCGAACCACGAATCTCAATCCACCAGTTAGGGGTTGCTTTGATCTTCGCTTCGCTTCTCTTTCTCAAAGCGTTCGCAACCGAAGAATACCAGTCAAAGGACTCGGTAGCCAGGATCACCTCGCCCCAGCCCAGCAGCACGGTGTCAGGTGAAGGAAAAGGAGCGACGTGGCTCTTTCAACGGCCATCCCTTTCTTGGCCTACCGGTATGCATCTTTGGTGGCAACTGATCGCTAATAGCTAGCTAGCTCATGAAAAGCAAGGCAACACAGACTTGCTTGCATTCTCAATCTGGGCAGATCTTGACTTTGGCTGGCCAGTGGTCATTGGGGCTGACAAGCCTCGTTCTTTGGCCCCGCCAAACAGCTTTTCATCCTTTCTCTCATCCTGTGTTGGTGGCTTTCATTACTTACAGTACGCTTTGTATGTCGCTCTCCGGTATCCTCACACCTTACACATCCTCATTCGATCATTCATCCATTCATTCATTCATCATGTATTCTAATAAGATAGGCAGATGTTTGCTTGGCTGTTGGCTGCAAGAACCTCTTCATCCTGCACCATAGTAAAACCCCACGCAAACAAAAGCAATATCCTGGAGTCTTATACATACTAGTACATTTATCCACACCTGCAAGTATACATCAAACAAAGATGTTGTCTGCAAACTCTCTCTTACTCAAGTAAGTAACAAGCGCAGGCACACGCAAAACACAAACTTAACTTGTTGGGATTGGGGATGCCATGAAAACCACCAAAGCGTTTCCACGGCGCGCGAAATGAATGTGCCCCCAGTTTCTGAAGCGTGCCCCGTTTCTGCCCCGTCGAAGAATGGAACAGTCCAAGAACAGGAAAGGAGTCTTCATTCGCGCGAATAGTCGCCATTGCTTTCACTCCCTCCGTCAAGAGTTGCTGAAGAAGTTTTGATGCTGCCAATGCCATCGAAAGAAGCAGCTTGGCTCTGGAGCTTGAAGTAGATGGTTGCTGGTGTGGCCTTCAACAAATGGGCCATGCCACTTCAGCACGTCCCACTGCAACATCAGACAAAGCAAAATACGACTCTTGAGCAGTCACTGTTCGTGTCGGGGATGAAGATGCCAGCTACCATTCCCATAAGAGGATCAAAGTAGTTTCACAACTCGAAGTTCGATGCTTCAACCTTCAATCGAACACCAGTTTTGGCCAAAGATGGTTACATTTATCCACGTCTTGCACATCTTTCTAATGCTTCCAACTGCTGCCGGCTGCAACAAGTGCCGACGTATGAATATGAATTAGTATCAGTTGCAGCATCTTCGGGCCAGAGTTCGTTCTATTGGCTGCAAAATTTGCGAACGAACTGGCCCATCCAACTTCAACCAATGCAACAACTTCCGCAACTTGCGGTTGGTACGTGGTTTGGCTATTTTTGAGTATTAGCATCTTCCTGGAGTCTCTGCATGGCAGCTGAAGCATAAAGTTCGACCTCATGTTTTGGCAGCAGCAGCTCCGGCAGATGTTGAAGGTTCCATGTTGTAGTTGAGTTGAGTAACTAGTTGCTAGCTGGTAGAAGAGGTTTTGGTTTCTGTCTGTCATGACATTGTCAGCCACGTATTTCGTCCTTCTGGGGTGGCATCTAGTAGAGCCCGGTTGCTGCCTCTTGCTTCATCCTCTCTATTGCTGCTGCTCTGCGAGGAACGACAGGATTTTTGAGGAGCTGTATCGTTTCCCCCCTTGCCTCTCACGTGTCGCGAGCGGAACTTGTTTCTGTAGCTGGCTGGAGCGGGATAGTAGACTCGGATGGGGGAAGGTGGATATATTATTATCTCTCTTTCTGAGATCCAACCTGTGAGATGAAGTTGCGCACAAAGATTGATGTGGGCGTGGGAGCGCTTCTCTACAGGTTGCACTGGTATTGTCTGGACGCCCTTGATACTAGCTAGTTTTAGTTGGGCCCAGCCAGAGTGTTGTCAAAGGCTGCGGCAATCAAGGCAAATGCAGACAGGCGCACCCCAACCCTACCTTACGGTTGGACACAGTGAACACGCATTCCAAATTCAAAAATGTGCACAATGGGAGAGTAATCAATCCTAATATGACAGTTTCCTGTGGACCCAAGGTTCCAGAGGACCCGTGAGCGGCTATCTAAATGGACGGTTGGTTCAGCCTGTCATCCTGAATGTCCCTTTTTTCAAATTTTGACTTGCCTAACTTTCAATGGCTTGTTTCATTATTTCAGATTGGTGTGAAGTAGATTTGACTGTTCTTCCCAGCTTTTCCTGCTCTCCGTGTTGTCATTTTTTCCAAAAAAGTGCTGTTTGATGGATGGATTGAGCGTGGTTGGGTATATTTAGTTATTTTTTACACGGCGCATTGTAGTTGGTGCCCCCACAACAACTCCATGTTCCATTGCTGTCTTGCACGTCATCGGAATCTAAAATGAACTTCATTTCGTCTCGGACGGTCTGTAGCCGTCGTTGTTTTTCTTTTCGCAAACTTTCCTTGAGTTCCTCGGGATATTTTAGAAATTCTTGGGCATCCTTGTCGATTTTCCAAGTTCCCTTGTGTGTTGTTGTTTTGGATTTCTTTTTTGCTGTTGTGGTTGATAGCCCTTTTTTCAATTCCTCCAGTTCTTGTTGCAACTGGGCAATTTGGGCATCTTTGGCTCGTAATTTTTGTCGCATCAAGTCAGCCTCGGATGATTTGCCGTTGGTTGTCGATTTGCCATTTTTCAGTGTCTCTTTTTTCTTTCCATTGGTAGTTTCTTTTTTTCCATTTGGTTTGACAAATTCAATTGTCTCTTCTTCTTCTGTTTCTGTGGCATTGTCATCATGCGCGGCATTGTACTCGACAAGCCGTTCTTTGAGCAATGCCATGACGGATTCCCAAAAGGTGTCTTCTTTAATTTTGCCTCGCACCAATTGGAAACGTATTTTGGACAAGTCGGGGAGCATGTGACACAATCGCACGGCCAAGGCACTTTCGGCCGTTTCTTCTTCTTTTCCATAGAATCCTCCTTTCGAAGTTGTTGTAGCCGATGCCAAGACGGAACGGGCGGCTTGTTGGACTTCCGGGATGGTAAGCGGCCGATGCTCCCACAAGACTGTCAATTGTCGATCCGACAAGGAAAATAAATCGGGAGGGAGTCCCTCCGAGTCTTCTTCTTGTGGTATCGTGGCTGTATTTCCCATCTTGTTTGCTTGCTTGCTTGCTTGATTGAGAGAGAGAGGTGATGGAATGGCAGTGGTTGGCAGTATGATACTACTAGCTAGTAGTAGTGATCACAGCGGACAACCAAGCGGTTTAGTGGTTGAAAGAGGAACTGCAGGTTTGTTGTTTCGCGCTTCTCTCCAATGACAAAGATCAAATGAGCGTCTTCAGTAATTACAGCTCTGCTGGCATTTCAAAGATCAGTCTTCTTTCTTTCACATCAAAACTCAAGAGCGTGTTGTTGCCTTCAACGAAAGGTCGGAGATCGCCAACGCAACACTTCCTTGCTCAACGAACACACCTCATTGCATTCTTTACGACGTACGATAGATATCATACAATAGATAGAAAAAGAAGACACTACACAATGACACTCAAATCGGACATGCTGCGTGCGTTGGAGGACGACGCCAACGACAATTTGAAAGATGTCACGCTAGTGGGTTCCGATGGCGGCCGTGTGTCTGCCAACAAGGCCGTGTTGGCCATTCGAAGTCCCGTCTTTCAGCGCATGTTCTTTGGAAACTTTCAAGAACGAGACAGCGACGAAGTCAAAATGGACAATTATCCGTCGATTGTCTTGCAAGTCGTCGTCAAGTACTGTTATGTGGATGAATTGGATTTGGATCTCATTTATTCGGATGATCATAATAACAACAAGACGAATACTACAGCCAATACAAACCAGGATGAACAAGATGAAGAAGAAGAGGAGGAAGTGGATCGATTGACGGACGCTGAAGCCGTGGCACTGGTGCAAGTGCGCGATGCGGCCAACTATTTGGAGCTCTTTGAACTGCACAAGACGATTTCGAATGAATTGGGAGAATCCATTCTGTCGACAGATGTAGGATTGGAGAATCAACGCAAAGACTTGGCATGTGTCTGTGCCGTTCTACAGGAACTCATGGCACGAGGAGGATCCGATGGATCGCTCTTTCTCACATTGCTCGACTTGGTGGAAACCCATCCCGAACCGTGTCTACTTCCCAAGTTTTCCACCACGCACAATCAAGGCATTCTCGCCTGTTCGTTGGCGCTGCTTGAACGACTCTTGCAATCCCCATCGGTCAACGCCTTTGTCGCCGTCAAGGCATTGCAAAAGTGGAATAAGGAACACAACCAAAACAGTAGTGAGGATGACGACGATGAAGAATTGACGCAACTCCAAACGATTGCCAATGGCGTCCAATTGGAACAACTGTCGGCGCCACAATTGGCCGAAATTCCACCCTGTTCGCTCTTTTCCATGGAACGACTCTACAAGGCTTTCGTGTCGCTCTCCAAAAGTCACGGGCCTTCTCCCAAACCATCGCCTCCATTTGTCGCCAGGAGTGCCACGGCTTTTACGTTTGGAAACAGCAGCAGTCCCAACAGCAGTAGCTGCAACCAGAATAGCCCGGACCGCACCGCCAAGACGGCCACCATTCGTGGCGCCGGCGTGGAATGTGTCAATGGTGTCTATCATCTCGTCGGTCTCAGTAGTAGTTACCAACGACGTGGAACCTACGGCGATCTCGCCGGGTGTTTTCTCTTGGAACGAGCGGGTGTATCGGGTGCTTGGAAAATTGTCTTTGAAAGCGAAACGACCGAACAAACCAACAAATTCTTCAACAAATTTTGTCTCTACGAATCGACATCTATTAGTAACAACAAACCCGGCATTCCGCCGTTTGCACTCTGGAGGTGTCTCGATGGCAAAGATCCGACGCCCTATGTCAGCGTACAAGTCAAAATGGCAGATCCCTTTGCCGCGGCGCATTGTTACTCCATGGGGGGTGGTGCTGCCAACGCTAGCACTAGTGATAACAATCCGCTGCCGGATGCACCATCATCGGCACAAGTGCAAATGGCAGAAGCCTTTCGGGCTCAGCTGGCCGTGGCCAACCAGAATAGTAACAACAACAACAATGTGGATGGCGATTACAATCGTCAAGTGCGACGTCGCAACGTGAGAGGACGCCGACAACGTGATAATTGATATATTGCTGACACAACATAACATTGGAAGGACGAGTTTCTTTGCGACTTATGGTGAAGAAGTCTCGAAAAGAGTTCCATCATCGTCTTGGCAGGTTCCACCATAATGACCGAAAGGATTAGAGCATCTATGATGCATAGGTAGTTTGCAATGGTAAACACATAATTGCATTTTTGTACAAGTTCGCCTGGCTACGGTAGTACGGTACGGTAGCCTACAGTCCGTGCTTGTTTTGGCTCTCCTGTCCTTCCTCCAAGGGACGCTCAAGCAACAAGCACGAAGCGGAGCCAACTTATCCTTCCCTGTTCTCAAGAATGGCGGCAATTCGCTCACTACTAGAGTACTGTAGCTAGCTATTAGCTGGCTAAAACGCCTTCCAAATAAATCAGATATGGTATTCATTCCGAGTGAAGAAAGCAACGTGTGTACCGGTGGTTGGTTGCCTGTCAGTGCACTGAGGATACCACCGGTACATCCTGGTGCTGCCTAAGAAATCACACATACTGGCTAGCTAGCCAGTGCCACTGTACCGGTACACGTGTACCAGTACCGGCATGTTGTACAATGTTTAAATGTATCATTGCAATTGGGGCTCGTTGGCTCGTTGGGGGACGAGGGCAGAGAAATAGTCTATAGAAATACGAGTGTACGGTACCAGTATGGTACTCAATACGTGCACTACGTACGTAAAAGAGTACTCGGTAAAAGATGAGGGCTTAGATGAGCGAGGAGAACGGTGCTGTTATGTAACATTCATCCCAAGCCATGGTTCGGTCATGCTTACGGTACAAATAAATAATACCAATGCGTTCGAAGAGGCAATATTACGATTTTAAATACCGTACCGGTACAACATGTTCTGGCACCTGGCCCGTACAGACCAGGTCGTTTCATGGTGTGTAGGTAGCCATCGAAATCGGAACAGGTAGCACCGACAGCCTGTCGCTCCGGGTATCATAGTTTTGAGGCCGATATCATATATAGCTCCTGCAAATATTAATCCACATCCTATCAAAACAGAACGTCAAAAATGAGCAACGCGGCTTGTACAACACAACATCATGAAATTGGCCAGGATTCTGCTACTTGCGGCGGAACTGATCCAGAGAACGAAGAAAGTCTACAAGTGCAACCTGCAAATCATGAAGCGGAGAGTGGAAGCCCTCATGGAAGACAAATCGAGAACAGCCTACCGGAATCAGTTGTTTGCCAATCAGATCCCAGATTCATGCAGATATCCAATCAGGATCATCAAAGGGCAATGAAAATCAAGTGTGTTGTGGAAGCCACTCCCAATTTGGAAAGTTTGTCCGACGTGATGTATGTTCAGTTGGCCATTCTTTGCAAGGGGGACGTGGAGCATGCCATGAATCATGTCTACAACCTCCAAGCGTTCAAGCAAGAATATACTATTGTTGACTCGTGGGAAGAGGGCAAAGAGCTTTCAGAAGACCTTGTAAGGAACTTGTTTCCGGGCTGGCTTCTGTCCTTTGATTTTGATGAAGACCATGGCAATTCTTTCATTGCGCTTGATCTCACCAAGGTAGACAAGCGATCCTTCCAATGCCCGAGAACTGCAAGAAGAATCTTTGCAGGATTGTACTACATGTTTCAAGCATTGTTTCCCAATCTTGAGGTAGTCAGAAAAGGCCATACGCAGGTTGTTGAATGTGAAGGTTAGTCCAAATACTTGGCACTGCGATGAACTTGCTTGTCTGCCACTGAAATATTGCTTTTCTTCCTTTATGTTCATTTCTTGGAAAGGATTTGACTTGTCCAGGAATATGGTGGACATCAATATATTTGTGAGGCTCATGACAGAAATCCATGGCTCTTATCCCACTGCTTTCGGTGGAGTGTATTTCTATCATACACCGATGGCAATCAATTTGATGCTTGCTCTTGCCAAAAGATCCCTACCAGAACATCTGGTTTCCAATATTGTCATGGGGTGTACTTTTGTTAGTCGTCTAGACCAGTTCTATGCAATTCCCACGCTGGAAGCTGCTTCTCAGCGAGCATTGGACAAAATTCAAGAGTCACTCCGGATCCGATATGAGAACGAACATACATTTTCACTCTGATGGCTGTGTCTCTGTTGGTGTAGTTTAACCTGTGTAATCTGGACAATGGTTTGGGTCAGCACGGTCTTCGCTCTTCCAGAATTCTTGCCATGTCCTCGAGAGTTGGACTGCTCTAGCTAGCTAGAGGATCGAGAGCTTCGTTCTTCGCGTTTTTTGACCTCCCCTTCCTATTCCGATGTGGACCCCTGTCAGACTTGACCTGTATCTTTTTGTACACGTAGATCCGCTAGGTCCGAAGTCTTCCAAGGGTTCATACAGGTCAAGCTGGCTTAATCCTCCTAGATCCAGCGAAATCCAGCATCGAGAAACCAAAGCAGCAAAGCTTCGCCCGAAGGAACACAGGACAAAGACTTGATAGAAGTCAAAGAAGTCAAAGAAGACAAAGAAGACAGCAAAGAAACAAACCCTACACGACTGTGAGAGCAAGATGTTGGAGATCCTTCCAAACCTCGATGGTTTGATTACAGGTGATGCTGAAGCAGTTGGAGTACGGTATATCCCACCGACTCGGTCGCATCCTCCACTGCGTCTCTTTTACCCCGCCAAGCAACCCGATACAAAGCAGCCATGTGTTCGATGGTTTCAAGACACGCCCAGTGCGGGCATGTTCCTGTGTGGTTACCTCCATGTCATTGGAATCAAACATGGCACCTGGGCTTTTGCCATTCTGTCGAGATTTTTGCGATTGGTTGCCTATTGTCTGCCACTGCAGTATCGATCACTGCCAGATACGTATGCAGGCATCGATATGGTTACAACAGAAAACAATCCGACCAAACTCCCCATTGTTGTCTTTTCCCACGGACTGACAGGAACCACTCAAGAGAACTCGCTCTTGTGTGCCGCATGGGCCAGACAGGGCTATATGGTGGCGGCTGTCCATCACGCCGATGGATCTTCGGCCTGTGTTCCACAAGCAGATGGATCTACGCTATGGTATCAGCATGGACCGTCCTACAAGAATTACGATGCTACCTTTCGACCCAAGCAAATTGACAAACGTGCCAGGGACATGAATGAGGCAGTCGATTATCTGCGGCAAACCTATCCCGATCAATGTGATTTTGACAAAATTGTGGCGGCGGGATTTTCGTATGGGGCTGCCACCGCGGCTTTTGTGGCGGTCCAGGACGATTCACCCTTCCAGGCCGGTCTCATTTTACTGGATGGATGGTTCTATCTGGATATCTCTGAATCTGCCGGGATCGAGTTTGAGTTCCCAGCGCTAGCCTTTGAACGGTTGGACAAGATCCATTCGATTCCCACCATTATCATCAACTCGGCCGTTTTTGAAGGCTACCCCAAGCTCAACAAAGCAACCAACCGCCTGGCCGGCAATGTTCATGAACGACACATCATTCCAGGGACCCAACACAACAACTTTTGCGAACTTTGCTTTTGGTTGCCATCGTCTTTGATGACATTTGCCACCATCCTTGGTGGACCTGTGGATATAGGGGCCATTGGTGCAGGCAATCCCAAAGAGATTTATCAAGATATCATTGGACGGACCAGTCAGTTTCTAAGAGAGGCTTTCAAATAAGTACGGTAGTAATGGAGAACATCCGCCAATAATGTAGCAATTTCAGCTCCATTGTGTAATAACTAGTAGGCTCTCCTCTGCCGTGCTGTCCTGACTTGCTAGCTATCAATAGTGCGCCCTACCTGTATGGCTCTTGCTTGTATGCGAGTGCTTCGCCATACGGTAGGCTACCGCCGGTGGCAGACGAACATGATTGCCTTCGTTTCAGCAACTTAGCCTCCACCTGGACCTTGAGGATGGTTGAAATGCTTTGAAACGGGCTGGTAAAAGTTCAAAAACATTATTTTTGCTGAAAATGACTTGGATGTGCCACCAAGACTTTTCTATAAAGATAATAGTAGTCTACATGTACATTGTACTATTTTTTAAATTCAAGCCGGATCTGTTATAACAATTCTGCAGAATCCCAAAATTCTGCAGAATCCAGGGAAAATATCTGCAGAAAAAAATATTCTGCAGAATTTTAATTTTTTTCTTATGCAATTCTGCAGAATTAAATTTTTCTGCAGAATTACCCCTTTTTCTGCAGAAATATGGGTCATAGGCTATTAAAATCCCCCACCCATGTTGTGGCTCCACTATTTCTGTTCAGTTGCTTTGCTTTGTTGATGCTGCTGCATACATCTGGGGAGAACTGTTATGGCTGTCACTAGCTGGGAGAGTTGATTGGTAGCTAGCTAGTGATAACTAGCTGGGGCCTCCGCAGAATATTTGGAATGGAGTAGAAACCACAGAGACGTCGCTGAACGGGAAGGTTGATTGGTAGCTTGCATCTCAGCATAATACTTGTAATGGAACTGGGAATGGATCTGAGGGCAAGGAGCTTTGGGAGAACCAACTGCTGGCTCGGGCTAGCTAGCTATCACTGGCTAAGAAAGATGATTTGATTACTACTAGGTAATGCTTGCTAGCTACTAGCTAGCTAGCTAGGTAGAGGTGGCCTCAAGAGAGGCCCAGCAAAGCAACTACCACGACTGGTAACCTGTTACCCTCCCAGCCAAAACTGATGACACTGTGACACCACCAAACTTGCAACAAGCCAACTCCGCAGTGTCTGGTTGGCTAGCTAGCTACCATGCACCAGTACCAGTACGGGGAGTTGGGGAATATTAGCTTGGTCATTGAAAGAACAGCCTGGATTGGAAAAAAGCCTGGATTGATTCTGCAGAATTACGAATTTCACAGAATCGGCGCAACAGATCAAAGAAGATGCTGTCTTATCACAATATTATCACAAAAATGCAAATTGGCTAGGATTTCTGGAAAATATGCATTCTACGAATCGCTGCTGTGCTGCACCGCCGCAACACTGCTCGTGACTGCTCTGGTATCGAAAGTCTCTTCCGTCTTCACCACCTTTTACGGGCATCCAGCCTTAATTCACTGGCACGTTGCCCGCTCGAAGCCGCAAATAATGGGGTTCACCACCTGGTTGAGAGCTCACCGATGCTAACGGTATCGGCAGGTCGGCAGCAGCTTCGGAGACCGTTCAAATTTGCATCCAATTCGTCGAGATTCGAGCTGGACTACAAGGCAAACTGGCAAGCTGCACAAATCTAAGGTCAGCTCAACATGAAGGACGTTTCATTAGACAACACCCAGCCTCTAGTTAGCGACGACCTGAGAAGCCGCAATGAGGTTGATGTGGACGAGTTGGAAGCCTTGTATGTGTCTACCGGTATGGGTGAAACGACAGTGAATGAAAACATACCGGTAAGCCAAAATGCCTCCATCAAGGAGCCGGATAGGAAGATGGTAGCCAACGCAAACAAGTCGGAGCTTCGCGAGTCTGACATCAAACGACGAGAGAAAGCGGTTTCTATTGTTTTGACGGCGGATGATGTGAGTGTCAATTCTCCCTCTTCGGTGCTCCGAGACTCTGATGTCAAGCGAAGAGAGAAAGCGGTCTCTGTTGTTTTGACGGCAGACGAGATTGGTTGTCCGGGTGGGCGGGTGAAGGATCCGACCAAGGCTGTCAATAGAGGTTCCAGATTGGCACTTGATTCCAAGCAGGACGATTGGGAAAAGGCAGACACCCAAGCGAGGAGCAGCGGTGTGAAGAGTACACAATCACCAAGCGCAGAGACAATGTCGAAACGCAGAGCTGCAAGAGATGAACAGGTAATAGGTGAATGCAACCTAGTCGGAGTGGATAAAGCAAGTGATCTGGATATGCTGAAGCTAGAAGAACAGCGATCCCAATTGCCAACGACACCAAGTAACGGCAATACAACCTTTGCAGACGCCAAAGAAGAGATGAGCGGGACAGTGGAACCCGTGACATCTATCGATGTGGACGACCAGCCTGTAGAACGTGCTACTGCGGCGGCTGAGGCAATCAGTCAAGCAAGCCGCCCAGGAGCTTATTCAGGAGCTCCCGGAGTCCCCTTGGCTAGAAACGACAGTCTCAGGGTATCACAGCTGGGAGTGGAGGATCCCTGCCAAGTCTTGACATTGTCCTACAGTCAAGGCTTGAACCATTCAAACACCATAGTGGACAATGCAACAACAGAAGATGTGGCAGGTCTGATGGTGGCACAGCCAATAGAAGAGAATAGTAAGAGTGACTTGGCCAATGCAGAACTTCTGGGTGATTCAGACCATATTAGTCGAGAATCGATGAGGTTGGAGGCTGAGAAGCAAACAACTGCCATCCTGGCAACCCTCAAATGGGTTGCATGCGGTGCTTTAGTGATCACAGTCGTGGTTCTATTGCTGGTTCTGGTCCTGAAGAAGAACGACGATGATGATTCCAGTGGGAATTCAATGGATTTGAACGCTAGCAAAACAAGTACCCCATCTGCATCCCCCACAATCTCCTTGGATGCTTACATTCTGGACCTGCTTCCCGACTTTTCTAAAGAGGCTATTCAAGATGCCACTTCGCCTCAATCAATGGCATTTCAATGGCTTTTGAGCGATCCAAATCTCTTCATGCCAACAGTCTATTCAGAATGGCGTATTGGGCAAAGGTTTTCGCTAGCCACAATTTACTATGCCACAAATGGCCACAATTGGTTTGACAATACTTTCTGGATGAGTTATGATGAGCATGAGTGTGACTGGCATTCAAAGCAAGCACTTGAGTATGTCTGTCTGAAGTGTGAGGACGCCGAATTTCTCAATTTCACCAACCCCTGTGGACCTGGCTTCAACTCAAGTGATCCTAGTATTGCAGAAGGCAGGTACCAGGAGCTCCGACTCAGCAACAATGGCCTAATTGGAATTCTTCCTGAAGAGCTCTATATGCTAACTGAGCTTACACTGATCCAATTGCTGAACAACAACCTGGGTGGGACCATATCCTCACGTCTAGGAGAAATGCTTGATTTGGAGCGCTTTGATTTGAGCTCCAATGAGCTCTCTGGAAATATTCCAGCAGAAGTCGCACAGTTGACTTCATTGGATGAGTTTGCAGTTTTCCGGAATTCCCTTACTGGTACACTCCCCAAGGAGCTTTTCCGTACAAACATATCAGCTCTCCTAATGGAAGAGAATGCCTTCTCGGGAAGCATCCCATCAGAGATTGGGTTGATGAGAAATGCCGAACTCGTTTACCTGGACTATACAAGCTTGACCGGGGCTGTTCCTTCTGAAATTGGCCTCCTTACCGAGTTGAAAGAATTGCATTTGTATGCCAACATGATATCAAGTTCCATCCCAACTGAAGTAGGGCTGATGCACAGCCTCTATGATTTGGACTGGAGTGAAAATGTGATGGATTCAACAATCCCTACAGAATTGGGTGAACTCTCTGTCAACCTTGAGATTATTTACCTGTACTACAATTTTTTCACAGGAACAATTCCCTCTGAAGCAGGGCACATCTCCATGCTGTGGTTGTTTGATCTAGAGGGCAATGAAATGACAGGAACACTACCTACAGAGATTGGAGATTTGTCAGTATTGGAAGATTTGTACTTGCAGGATAATTACTTCACCGGTCAGATCCCCAGTGAACTAGGCTTGGTTGAGGGTCTATGGAAATTATTTCTGCATGGCAACATGCTGACTGGCACAATGCCCTCTGAGCTGGGTTTGCTGTGGAATGTATCTGAGATATCTTTTCGCAGCAATCAACTCTTTGGTCCAATCCCAGGCGGTGAGTTGCTGGAAATTTTTATAATTGCCATCTGTTCCTCCTCATTGTCACCTTTCAACTAACTTTTCCTGGCTGGCATTATGTCTGATAACTAGAATTTGGAAATATGACGTTTACCATTGAACTTGACCTTGGGATGAACCAGCTGAATTCAACAATCCCAGCAGAGCTTGGCAACATGCTTGAATTGTCCAGATTGAAGTTAGACTCAAATTTTCTCACAGGAGAGGTGCCATCTGAGCTTCCTTTGTTGCCCTGGCTGGAGGTTCTATGGCTACAGGACAACGATTTATCTGGGAGTCTCCCTTTAAGCTTTGAGCTCCTGGCTTTCAATCTATCGGACTTCAATATCACCAACAATGTCCTGTTGTCAGGAGTTGTCCCAGAGGAGCTTTGTTCCATTGACTCCTTGTCCTTTGATTGCACAAGCTTGCTTTGTGGGTGCGACTTGTGTGCTTGCATGGACTTCAATGGACCTAACACTACCAATGCCAGCAGATCCAACTGGACGTTCTCATCCGTGCAGAACTCTGGTGGAAACGGGACCAAACAGCTGGGCCAACACCATGGACAGTCTCCATGAGACTCAACATAGCAATAACACCAATCCTAAAGGCCGAGTAAAATGGATTTGAATGAGTGCCATGGCACCCTCTGGATTGGCAGATATTTGGACTAGTTTCTTTCGTCGTGTCATTTACCGGTACAGGTTTCATTGCTAGATGTAGTTTTTATTTTGCAAGCTGGGGGTGGGAGTGGGCAACAAGCACGTCTGCTGGTGTGTTTGAATGAGTGTCATGGAACCAGTTTGGCTAGAGTTTCCTACATCTGTCATGGTTCAGTTATGCCTTCCCCGTAGCGTTGTGAAGCTGTAACCACGTATTGGCACAGCGTGGAATATCGCTCAAAATGGATGCACACTTTCCCTGGATGTTGGATCTTTTCTTTCTTCTTTGGGCAAACAAACCAGAACTCCAGTCTGGTAAACTCAAGAACGGGGTCTGGTTGCTTGGCTCTGCTACCGTACCCTTACAGGAATCCCAGGACGATGCTGCTGTTTGTGATGAATGTTTTTACTCCGGCCATGCATCAACGTATGCAAGAGCGTTGTTGCCATCGAAGGTTTCCAATTAGGTGGTAACAGTGAGCCACGGGTACAAGAAAGATGGAATCCCGCGACCTTCGAGAGAGTTCTAGTACATGTACATCTCGAGTAAGCGATCCGCCTGAGACCTTGGCAATCTACTACAACTTTAAGAAGAACGCTGGTATCCGTATGTACGACTGGAAGAAGGAAGACCATTGCTTGGAAGTGCCTTTTACGAACTCGACACTTACAATCGGCGATCTCCGAGGGAAACTCTTTGATCGGTTCATTGGTCATGAAGAATTCCGGTTGCCCCCGTGCACTGTAGCCGTCCCCATCAAGTTATTCCCAGTGCTCATCCCGAGCAAGAAGCTGTCCCAAGACATTGATGAATCGAATGATGACAAGCTGTTCATAGAAACCTTGCTGGAAACAGTGCCAAGTGTCCTCGACTGCGAACATCCGCTGATCTTGCTAAATCCTGTTTTTGACTACAAGATTCAGGTTGATGTCATTGAGAATCCTGTTTACGACCGAGAAGACGTGTACGATACGAACTTGGACGAATCTGTGGCCAAGCCTGGCACTATTGTCCAGGTTTGCATTCTGCAATCGGAATGCACAAGCGATGCCTGGCTGCAAAAGATCTACAGGGCAGTAGGCATGTCGGAACTCGATCGTGCTCATGTCCTCTGGAAGGGCGACGAAATAGTTTCTGTGCCCTTTGTGAGAGAATGGTCCGAGTCCAGACTACAGATTTGGATCAACCAGTGGCGTCTTTGTGTCCGGACACTGGGAGGGGAAACGATCCGTGTATCTGTCAATCCACTGGACACACCCAAGGCTTTGGTGGATGTAATCAAAGATCAGTCCTGGAGGCTCAGAGGGCTACCCTGGGGGGCTAGCTTTGGCCTGGTGAATTCAAACAACGGAACTATTCTCAGCGATGATGCTGAAGGCACGCTACAGAGCCTCGGTGTGAACAAGGACTCGATCCTCTACATCATACTATCCACCAAAGCTCCTACTCGACACAATGGATGCACAATACCGAAAGCAGAACACAGAGGCATGACTATCGACCAGCTTCAAGAAATCGCGAGGATTGTGCTGACGCGTTGTGTGCCAGAAAAATGGACAAGCACAAACCCAGATCATGACGATAAGCTGTTGCGGCCAGAGGACGTGACGCTCTATGATCTCATGCATCACTACATCAAGCCGGAAACACTTGCGCGAAATTACAGTTATGTTGAGCCGGTGTCGGAATCAGAGGAAACAATCAGAGGAAGCAAATGTTACTTCACAAGCCACTGGTGGGGCGGACCGGTTCTTGATTATTTTGTTGCGTGCTTGTCTGAGCACGCTACGCACTGCAGCAAGCGACATGCTCAAAATGACAGTCAGGGCCCCCCAATAACCTATTGGATCTGTGATTATGCCATCCGTCAACATGACGTGAAAGCTGAGCTTCATGTCGACCCAACCAACAACGAAGAGCACGTTCCGCCGCCAACTGTACTGGATACACGTTTCTTCAGAGCAATGGAATGGAGCAAAGGGACTGTACCCGTCCTTGATGCGGAAGCCACGACGTACAAGCGCATCTGGTGCGTTTTCGAGCTATTTGTCACGCTGGATGTGAGGAAAGCTGCCTCCGGTGCATACGCGTACGATATTTGTGCGATGGACAAAGGCGATACCGGGCCTGCAGTTCTCTTGGACCCAACAGACAAACATTCAGACGCGTACACTGTATACCTCTGCAAGTTTCCCCTTTGACATGTGCCTGAAAGCTCTCGCTGTCAATTTGGCAGAAGCGGAAGCATCATTTCCACGTGACAGGGCCATGATATTGGATAACATAGTTCAAGATCACAGCGCACGCTCTGACGGGACCAGCAACTCGGGGAAACCTTGAATATCTTGAACCGCAAGTTACAAGGAATGTTTGCACAGTCTTTGTACCAGATTGCTGTCAGGAATGGGGATTCGTCTTTACCTGCTTTGCGGCGTGCTCTCTTGGCGGCTCCGTATACGGACTCGAGCATGTCGTTTCGAGATGGAACATTTCGTGATGAAGCAAAGAACTTCATCGGGGCACTACCGGAAACGCTTCTATCGTGTTGTCTGGATTGCAATGGCGTCGGCTTCGAGGAATCAAGTGAGTTCTCCGCTGGGCTTTGTCGCCTCCAATCTCTGACAGCGCTGGAGCTCAGAATCGGGGAGAACAAGCAGTTACTAGACGCCAGCGCCTTATGAGGTGAGCTTGCAAGGATGCACAACTTGGAGAGCTTGAAGCTCGACTTCCACAACTGCAGGGCCCTGAAGTCGATCCAGAGGCTTGGCGAAAGCCTCCCAGCGCTGCACAGGCTTTCCTATATTTCGCTGAATCTAGCGCAAGCAGGAATCGACTCCCTTGACGACTTCTGGGAACACCTAGCGGCTGCCAGTAGTGTGAAGCGATGCTCCTTCGAGATAGCCTTATCTACAACAACGGATGGCATTGCAAGCAGTCTCGCCGTCGGCATCTCTACGCTATCGAGCCTCGAAGTGTGTGAAGTGATCCTGAACGGATACAATGAGGCAGTGTTCGACATTGGCGAGTCCCTTGCCAGCACAAGCAGGGTTCCAATACTCAGGGTCAGGGCAGCGGAGACTGTCCCGAAGATTGAGGGGGTCCCGTTGTCAAAGATGAGGGCTGGACTTGAGGGATTGAAGGTCTTAGAATGGGCTGGCGACGACATCAAATCTTTGCCTATTGTCTTAGGTTCAGCAACCAGACTCTCTACGTTGGACCTGAAGAACACCAGATACAACACCTTTTGGGACAATGTTGGTCCAGGTTTGGCGAAGCCAATTGTCCAGATGAGTTGGCTCGAAGTGCTCGCTCTGGATCTACACGATATGAACCTGATTGATTGCGTCCTGGAGTTGTTCAGCGCATTCAGCACCGCCTCCTTTGAACGCTTGAAGAAGCTTCATGTCGTTTTTACGTCCGAGTTTTCCAATCGCGGCACCGGCGGAAACATTGTGTGCTTGGACGACTTTGCAATCTTCTCAGGACAAAGGATGCCTTTGATGAAATCTCTTCGGCTGGCCTTTTGCGTTGAGGAATGTTACTACGACTGGGACTACAATTGGAACAGGGAGCTGTTCTCAAACATTTCAGGCTTTGCTGATGGCTTGCGAGCGCTGAACGGCCGACTAGACGACCTGGAAGTCAAATTGAAGGACTTCTTCGTGACCAGAAACAGCATAGCAAGAGTGTTGCAAGCTGCGGTTGATTGTGTGGATGGGGCAACCAAACTAGATCTGGAGCTTGGAAGTTTGCCCAGAATACAATCTGTTGAGGATCTATGCGATGCCCTCTGCAGAACTGAAAAGGAAAGTCTGCAATCTGAAAAGTTAAGTTTACCCACACAACTCACCCTCTGACGACTCCACTCTGTCTGTCGGGCCATCGAGCTAGGATCTGATCGTCTCTCTTTTGGGTGGGAACTTGGTTGGGGGATTTTCTGCCCTTGAGTCACTCAAACGGTTGGGGAGCAAAGGAGGCATCTACTCCAAGGCTTGAACAGCCAGTATACAAGTGGAGTGTCAATGCAGAGTATCTGGACGATTCGATTCAGACCTGTCAAGCCGAGAATCCACGAGGCCGAAGTCTGACAACCAAGCAAAGTGGGCTGCATTTGCACGGATTGGTACCTACTTGTACAAGTAGGGCTTCTTGGTTGCGAAGAAGAGCAGAATTTTATCTTATCCATTTTGTCTTCTCCCCTCTACAGCTTCGCCTTTCAAGTGCCTTCCTGTGGCCTCGCCTTGTCTGAAGACTACAAGATGTAGAGAAGGCACTTGGAATTGAACTTGATCTCGGGACGAGCCAGTTGGACTCAACATGGGAGCCTTGAAACATACCGGGAACTGCTGTAACCGAAATCAGGGCTGCCGCCTTATCTGACTTCAACATCACCAACAAGGCCCTCGTGCCAGGAGATGCCCCAGGGGAACTTGTCATTTGACTGAAACTTACTTGCTGTTGAGCGTGGCATGTGCTTGCTGGGTTAGAATGGACTTCAAGACCCCGTCCGGGCAGCTCGTTGATGGAAACAAACAAGTGCAAATATCCACGCAATCACAATGAGACACAACAACACGAAGCTTCAGATGCAAAGCCCACAATGACGGTGATAAACTAAGATCGAGATGCTGCCCATTCGCAGATCTAGCTACTATTGCTTGGACGAGGTTGATGAAGTGGGTTACAATATGTAATATGAATCATTAGGAAGGGTTATTTACAAGCTTTTCAGGCATGTTTGTGTACATGAGTATGTGCATCATCATCATCATCAAAGGGTTGATGAGAATCAAAAATCAAAAGAGTCTCTTGGATCGATCACTGCGCAGCGTCCAAGCGGCAAATCGACGAGAGAATAGTTCGAGACCTGACCATCCCATGACTGGAGGATGCCAGGCAAGTCTTTCGTCTTCCACAGGAGGAAAGCGAGGACGATCCCAGAAGACTCTTGATGCTGGAATCCGACAAGTCACTATGGTCTTCGTCGTCGTTCAATCCAAAGCTACTGTCAAAGTCAATGGTGGGAAAGGGTGCATCTTGTTGGAGAAAAGAGATATGATCACTATTATGGTAAACAAAGGAGGAAGGGAGGGAGGAATGTAGCTGTGTCATGGATAGAGCACTGTCTCCATTGCTATTGAGCTTTCGGCGCTTGGCGACGGTGAGCTGTTCATGAAGAGCTTCTGTGGCAGGAGATGCCGTGGTTTTCTTGCTGGAGGAGATGATCAGGTCCAAGCCTTCCAGGGGAAATCGGTTGCTGCTGTTGATATTGCTCATGCTGGATGCTCGTTTACGGTTCTGGGAATTAGATTGGCACATTGTTTGGTTTATGAGCAAAAGAGGGAGATAGCGGGTGCGGGGATACGATGCTTGCTCGTGGAATGGCAACCCGAGCACATCAAGCAGTGAGATCCAAACAAACTGGGGTTGGAAACCAGCTTCCACGGTTGACAATTCTCTTCAACTCAACCATTTAATTAAGAAACCATGTTCTTCGAGAAGTTTTTCAAACCTGACGTGGTGAAAGAGCGATCGAGCGATCGAGCTATGAAAGCGAGCCAAAGGCCAAAATCGGAACACTGTGGTATTTTAAAATAGCTCTGTGGTCCTCTCGAGTTCTCAAGTACTGGTAGCTCTCGAGTACAGGGGCTGTTTTGAAAGCAGGTAGTTGCGGTAAATCAAGTTCTCTATACAAAAATGAGAAGTAAACATTAACTTTAACCCTAAACTTACCTGAACTACCCATCTAAAACTGTCTTCCTGGTACCTTCAAGCCCGCTTTCTCTTTTCTGCATTCTTGTTTCTGAAATTCCTCGTAACTGACATTCTGCGAGCTTTTCCCCTTAAGAATGATGAAATGCCTCACAGAGAATATCGCAGGTTTCATCGTCAAACTATGATCAAGAGAACACTACTTATGTCAAGAGGCAATCAGAGCTCATACCGGGGGGTGCCTCAAACCGACTGACTGTAACTGAGGATGTCTTACTCCACCTTCCTGTCTTGTCCCTTTGACCATCACCAGCTTCAACCACGCTATACCAGGTACCGACCTCTACCGCTCTTTCTACCGCCTTATTGCCACCTTTTTACCGCCTCCCACCGCGCTGTACTGACCTTAACCGCTTTCAACCGTCCGTTTTGGCGACTTGAAGTGATAGTTTCGGTGGTTGAGGTAACAGTCAATCATTTGGAGTTGGTTTGAGGCTTCCTCCAGAGACTTAGTAGCGAACATTGGTACTACTAGTGTAAGGAACATTGAAGTAGCAAGGAGCAAGGGGCTTTGCTTGGTACCAGGTACCGCTACACCGCTACTGTAGCGTACCGTACGGGTACGTACAGCGTACTAGTAGCAAGGAGCCTTCTCGCACCCGAGTACCGCTTATCCTTCAGCTGATCCCACGGAAAAAACCAAAAACTAAACAGTGTGTTCCTTGTTCCTTGGAGTGGTACCTACTTACTTGATACTGAGTATCTGATAGCTTATCGGATTGCTTCAACAAAGCAACGGATTTCAGTATTGGTGGAGTTTCAGTGGCGAGCTACGGGCAGCCACAGCAGGCTCCGAGCTCCGAGCTCAAGCATCACCTTCGAACTATCAACGAACTTGAGGTTGAGGCAGCGAACTTGACTGGTGGGTCGGACAAAGCCAGGGCCGATTCGGAGAGAGAGACATCGTTTCAATCGTAGTCCAGACCGCATCCGGTATGGAGTCTAGCTACCGGTATGGCTCTTACCTGTGGTGTTGCCTGGTTGCTACCTCTTGCAATCCGTGTTCTTTCGCTTTTGTTGAATAGTCGCTTGGGCAGGTGTTGTTGTTGGTCCTGTTGCGCAAAGGCTTATCATACTTCTTTTCGCTCCAGTGGGATCCAATAACCGCAAGCGACCTCACTTTTCTTCTGGACCCAGCCATCGCCACCGGGTGTTGTAGAAAGTTTGTCCCTGCATGTTGTTGACCACCTTAATGCGATAGGCCCATTGCAACACGCAACCAAGGGACGAGAACAAAGAAGCAGCCAGCCATCTTCTGCTTCTCTGCATAATGGCCAAGTCTATTGGTGGGACTACAACCTACAACAGCGCAACGGATGAAAAAGTCAAAATATCTACAGCCTTAGAAGCCACCCAGTTGGTGGAAGGCGCCACCCCGCATTGATCCACTTACACGTCTATACTCAATTTACACTAGAACATCCTTTGAGAGCTCCCTGTGCTTTACTTTAGTCTGACACAACCAGTAGCCGATACTCCTGCGAGTTTTGTTTGGTTACCGGTAGCCCATGTAGCCCTAAATGCACCTGCACCTGCTTTTCCAGCTGGCAAGGTGCTACTGAACATGCTTGGGCCATGCTCCGGAGTCTACCGGGATGCCTTGAGGCCTTGACTGTTCCCCAGAGCCCCAAAATGTAACGCTAGCTAGGTGACATTTGTCGACCAGGTACCTGGTACCGGTAACAATCTTTAACCCATCATCGAGCACGGAAGCAGCCCAGGTGGCTTGTTTTTTGGCTGCACAACACCAACCCGTCTAGCTAGTGGATACCTACTAGGCTCCAGAATCCAGCTCCAATTAAAGCAGAGCCCAATAGAGAAAGCGAAGCTGAAAGTGCTAGCCAAAACCGTGGATATCTACACGTTACAAAACGGTGAACGAAGCGAACAGCTCAACGTACCTCCACTGACAAAAGAAGCTTCTCCTTTGATGCTTGTTCTCCAATGCTCAAAAAGACCCCGGTGGCTGCATTCGATCAGGATGCCTCAGTTGATACCTGAAGTTCTAGTAGCACAACAGAGCATTCCCCCACCGGCTACGAATGAATACTGACTAACTAAAGCATTCACTTAGGGATGATACCTCCCGCAGCTATTCCCACCCAGTGGCTTCGCGACGAGGGTGAACGCAAGGTCTCGGCCCCTTTTCTACCGAAGCACGACAAAAGCGATGCTTTCCCAAAAGAAGTGGAATGACAAAAGAAGACGATTATGGTTCTCCACGAGCTACCAGTTGCAAGAGAGCCTGAAGGCTTCAAACAAATCCCAAATGAGTGAATCCTCTTCGATCCAGCAGTCGTAGCATTGCTCCTACGGCAAGGTTTTGTGTCGTGGAAGATCGTTAGTTTATGAAGTGTATGAATACGAGAACAGGTTGCTGCAAACAGGCTTCTGCTGCATGGTAGCTTCAGGCTTCAGTGATGTTGAGGGATGGAACGGTGCTGTTCTTCATCACTAAGCCTTTTTGTTTAGCGATCTGATGGAGAGCTTCTCTCACCAGAATGGAATCCAGGACTAGCAACTGGAAACGGGTTGATGGCATCATTGATCAATGTTGCTAGTTGCCACCATCACCGCCGCCCCATTCCATGTTTTGGCTTGCTTGCTCCCAGAATCCTTCAAAATCCCATTCGTGGTCCCCCCAATCGACGCCATCGCCGTCGGCCAAGCACCCCCACCAAGTGCTGTCTTGGCATTCATCTGACATTTCAGCCAATGCAATCCAGATGCCAAGCAGTTGACAGCATATAGCAAATATAGCCCACTGTATGCCAATGCATTTTGGAAGGCAGCAGGGCCACACCTCCTTGTAGCATGCATATGCATCCGAGTGTTCTATTGTTCGGAAAATGGTGTCATCTGAAATGTCTGCAATGGCGAAGATCCCAACACAGACCCCATAAAACAAAATGAGAAATTGGAGTAAGGGGGTATATACCCACCACTCAATGTAAATGCAGATGCAGTTGATCAAGGCATAAGCCAAGGAAATGTAGACCAAAGTCTTATTGGGCGAGTAGCAGAGTGCCAACAGGAGAGCTCCGGTCAAAACACTGGCTGCCACCGTGGCAGTTCGTCTTCCACCAGATAATATCACGAAAATCATGCTCCAAACACTGACGCCACAATAGCCGGCGGGAATGATCAGGCTGCGGCATCCACCGGCATAGCGCGTGACACCACCTTCATTGTCATAGACTTCAATGTTGTACACGTCGCCTCCAGTGAACCAACAGGCACAGGCATGGCTCATTTCGTGCAGAAAGGTCGACATCAGACGCATCGGTTTGGCAATCAGAGTCTTCCAGGTAATCATCGCGAGTGCAATAAACGCAATGTACAGCAGAATGAACAAGGTCTGATCGTCATTGCAGCAGCTCCATTGATCACCACTGCCGCCATCGTCACTGCCATTTTGATTGCCGTTGTCTCCACTGTCACTGCCCATGCTGTCAGTCGTCTAACTAACTAACGCTACACAGAAAGGAAACCGCCTCTGCTCTAGCTCGTCTTCCTCTCGTGTAGACTCTAACAATAGATAGATCAAGCTCACTGGATACGGTACGGTACAAATGAAATGGATCAGCGAGACCTGGTCCGTTCCTCACAATCACACGGAATCAATCAGCATTTTGCTCCCATGGCTGCTTTGATGTCTGTTATTGTAGTGGCTCGTGCCGCTTTTGTGAGTACAACGACCTCTCCACCACCGTCATTTGCGCCATGGCCGTCGGTTTCGTGGCGCATCTCATTGGACTTGACCGTTGCCTCCAAGCAGGAGCGTGCAAGTGAGGCGAACCCTCAAAATAAGGTTATGGTCACTTTCTCACTTTTTAGCAAGTTCGTTCGCATAATTTTGAAGATTTCGATTCGATTCGTGTTGGTGCCAACCGCCCAAATTGGATTTCGCCATTTCGCACCACTGTGCACCCATTTCAACACAAGCAATTGCCAGTAAGGCTCGCCACCAGCCACGTTAGAGAATGAGAATTCTCTCTCCAACCAAGATAGGAAATGAGAATGGTTTGGTAGGCCTTGGTTACAGGTTGAACTTCCAATCATATGTGGAATGTGGAATCGAATCGAATCAATGTGGACTGTGGGTCGCATTCTGGGCCATTCCGGCTGCTCTTTGAGACATACTAGTACATGATACAGTAGGAATGGCTGTTGATATTCCCATTGTTGCCACCGGACATGATATTCCTGGTAGTTATTATTCCCATGGTTTCCATTGGACATGATAGTCAATATGTTGTTCTCGTTTTGGTTGCTTGATTCCACTGATGTGCTTCTTTGTTCATGCATGTTGCTGCTTCCTGGTTCCAGGTAATCTTCATTTTCAGTGATTAATGCTGGAGGAAGCTCCAGCTTCCGCGATCGGCACCTGTGACTGTTACTAGAGCTACTTTCTGCTGAGCAACGCAGTTTGAATTTGGAGGCTCCTTGAGAGAATGTAGTTAACCTTATTTGGCTTCTAACTTCTACTCTACCAACAAAGGTTTTCAAACAATTCTGTTATGATGGCCGTGATGATGGCCAGTTGAGTTGAATGCGAATAGGCAACTTGAATTCAAAGCAAAAATCAGGAGGAATCAGAAAAACTCCCACGACGACGCTGGCTGCACCCACGAAAACTGGTACTAGTGCGCTATATTCTTTCTTCCTTGAATCATGTTCCTGGTTGCGGTCCAATCTAGCTACACTTGTAGTAGGCAGTCCGCAAGGATACTACATGTACCTACGGTACCGACAACAAGGATTGAAGTCGAGCCAGAGCCAAAACAATTCCAGGAGTATTCCAGGCCACGATGGCTTCTCTTGAACCTGTAGATACCGTCAGCACGCACACAGGGCGATGATAGTTCCGGAAGCTGTTCCGGAGCTGTTCCGGTCCAAGGAAGATAGTACTAGATAGGGAGTCCTGGTAACGTTTGGGTTAAAGTTTAGAATTTACTCTACAGAATTGTACTGTTGCCAAAATTGGTTACCACATCTACCTCAACTCTAAAGCTATCTTCCAGAACGCAGGCAGGTTGGATGAAGGGTGAAGTGACAGGAAGGCCCGGTCACGCGACCAGCAGTCACCAAAAATCAGCATAAAGTCGCACACAGCATCAAAGTCGCATCAAAAGTCGTATGTAAAGTCGCATGCAAGTCGCATGAATGTCGCGTGCGACTTTCTCGCACGACTTTCAAAGTCGCGCAAGATTTCAATAATCAAGGTGACAGAGTCGCGTAGGATCGCTGAAAGTCGTTTGGAAAGTCGTACAAAAGTCGCATGCGACTCGCACACGACTCGCACGCGACTTTGTGAACGACTTTTAGCGATCCTACGCGACTTTGACCGATCCGGGACTTTAAGTCGCATGACGGGGCCTTCCAGAGCAGACCCAAGAACAAGAAAATCAGTTCTGATAATCAGGTGGATGTAGCATTATTTAAAACATAGACCTTATGAATTACCTCAATGTCCAAATCATTTTCCAAATCTTTCTGAAACAGAACAACATTGCTCAAGCAGTGTCCGATTACAAAATGCGAACCATGTGCATATGCGAAGGAATTAAGGAAAACTGTGAGTCACGGTTGCTGTACTCTTAGTCTCATAGTACTAGTAGATGATGCAAGAACAGGTGTCTCACGGCAAGAAGTGTACATGTACTCGGAGCTAGTCCGTACTCATTAACTATAGTAAAGTGACAATAATTATGGCTCCCTGCCCAAGTCATAACTTGGAAAGGACAGGGGAATGAAGTCTTCCGAAATCCGAATATTGGCTATTGGGTCGCTTCCCTTTCCTCTTTTCTTTTGGCCAGCCAAACGATACGAAGCCTACTGAACCAGCTACTGAAGCCTTGCCCAGTAAACAACAACGTTCCCTCTCACGCCAACATTCCCCATCGCATTCTCATAAACCGCTCAACCCCAAACCAAACGAACCAAACAAACCAAATCCAAAGCACAGACGAAAATACTCCCGGTAATCATATCGACCATGACGAGCCAAGATCGCGGCGGCAGCATTGCAGAATCGATTGCCGATATGGGGGCAGGAGTCCGCATCGTTGCCTCCGAGGTCTGGCATCTCCAGCGTGGCTCGTTTACGAATCGCACCAGCTCGGACGAAGAAGTAGTAAATCAAAAGGAGGAACGATCTTTCCTCAGGGTTCTTACCGATGCCATCTATGATTCGGCCACTCGATTGTTGATTATCAACGCAGAGCTCCGAGTGATGGAGAGCCATCTGGGAGGATCTCATCGGGAAGAAGAGCCCACTCGCTGTTAGTCGAGGATCAGATCGGCTGGATTGCCTACCGTACATTGCATCTACATCGTCATGAGCGCTGCAAACCACGACCACAATTAGTTTGACCCACATCAACCACATTCAGCCACATTCAGCCACAGACGACTTCAAAGACCCGTCTTCCATCAACGAGTGAGCTGCTGCTCAGCAGCCCTCTCCTGGCTACGGTACGGTGCTGCCTACGGCTGTGCTGAAAATCTCTTTTCCCTTCCTCTTGATGCTGATCCGCTTCGTCCGGGGGCTTTTGATTTTGGGCCGGCGGGGGCGACCGGAATCATCAAGACTTGTTAGAAATAGTTGTATACTAAGCATTATTAGAATAAATGAACGATAACATTACTCTTTGTGCATCGCTGCTTCCACATATTCATTCTTAATGACCCTGCTGAATGGCCGTGCTTCGTTTTGGGGGCCATGTTCCACCTATGCTGCTGCTGGTACCATACCATAGCGGCAGCTTTTTAACCTAGCTAGCATAGCGGCAGCCCAAGAAACTTGTAAAAGGCCACACTCCTCCCCTTGAAAGGTTTGTCTAGCTAGCTAGGTGCTTTTGGTTTTAGACCAGCGGAGACCGGAATCATCAAGAGTTGTAGAAATAGACTAAGCTTTTTAGAAATAAATGAACTACATGTACTCTGTATGCATGGCTGCTTCCGTACATTCAGTTATCAATGACCCTGCTGGATGGCCGTGTTTCATTTGGGGGGCATGTTCCACCTGGGACTCTCGATTTGATGGGTACAGGTAGCGGTACACTGAAGATGGTCTTATACCAGCTAGCTAGTAGCATAGCAACAGCCCAAGTAAGCTTTAAAAGGCCACGTTTCCCTTGAAAGGGTCGTGGTCAATCAACCGAGCCTTGAAGGAACGAAGCACGGCATGATGCTTGCGCAACTCGGCTTCACAGGCACTGTCCATGTTGTTGGCCAAGCGCAGCTCATGGAGGGCTTCCTTGAGGTCCCACTCGCTCTTTTCCACCAGACCCAACAGCTTGAAGGCACATTGTGCTCGATCATGAGCCCGGGCTTCTTCGGCTTGCGCTAGTTCCATTTCAAAGTCTTGAACAATCTTGTCGTGGTGCAAACGTTCCCATTCATCTCGAATCTTTTCCAACTGGCTGGAGGCATGCAGGTGATCCCGATTCGCCACATCAGCCGCTTGCTCTTGCTGGAATCGTTGCAAGTGAGCCATGTACGCGGCCTGTTCCAGACAATCTTCCGTCAACTCGTTTTGACTTCTCGTGGCCTGTTGAAAGTACTGTGCTTGGTAGTGAAAGGCTTCTCGCAAATCCCGATAGTCCTTGCGAAGACGGGACGCGGTCTCTTCGCCGAGAAGGGACGTAGGAACCGCCGGCATCTTGGTGATGACCTTGTCCTGCCTCGTCGACATGATTCTGCCCATAATAAAACCATCGACTTGGACGAAACGAAGCAGCAGCAGCACTGCCGCCAACACGAGACCGCCACGCGCCACAAAGCTCATTGTTGTGTTCTTCTAGCTAGCTGGCTGGCAATTGGATAGAGTACGGTAGATGCAAACGGGATAGCACTATAGTATGGTAGTGCTTGTTTTTGGAGGAGTGGATGTATGTGACATCTTGGATGCCTGCAAACAGCCCATGTGATTGTTGGGTTCATTGCGAACTCCAGGTTGACAGCGTGGAAGATCAGATCTTTTGATGGGGTTCTGTCGTTGATGAGGGGTTCTGTCCTTTGGTTTGACCAATGAGGACTGCCCCTGTTGGAAGGAAACAAGCCCAGCGGGCTATGATAGCTATCTATCTAGCTAGCTAGGTCAGCTGCATGGACATGGGCAGCCAGGAAGAATCACAATAGCACAACACAGAATGACACCACAAACAATGCTGCATACAGTACCGGTAGTAGAACCCTGGGTACCGGTGCGGGTAGGTGGATTCAGACGATATTTTTGGATTTTTGAAAAGTGAGAAACTTAGGAAAAATGTCAATTTCGTTGAAAAGGAAAGCAACATCCGGGTCCCCACGGGAGTCGAAACAAACGCAAACATCAAACATCCCTGAATGTCCATTTTCCAACACCGTGAGGAGGAGCCAACGTCCATCAAACACCGTGAGGAGCCAAGGTTTAGCTGATTGTAGGTCTGTGATTAAGAATTTATATCATTCTCTGGAAGCTGATCTGACTGTTGTTTTCCTGAAGCTTTGCCTGGAAGATATTCACCTCGTTGGCTGCATTCTCTCCCCGACCTTTTGTCCTCACGAGTCGAGCTTCCCCGTCAGTCGTCAAGAATACCGGTATATCCGAGGCCAGCTCTGAGTCTCTCGAAGCCTCCAACCAAAAAGTCACTCTCCATTAGCAGCAATCTCTCTTTTGGAAACAGGAACAAGACCACAACCAAAATGGCACACACCAAAGCAATCAAAACACTGCTCCTTGTTGTGGCTGTGATCTTCGCATCCAGCATAAACACAGTTGTCCGATCTCCAACTAGAACATCTTCCAAAGCAACACAGCAAGAGGATTCCATGATAACAATGACAAAAGCTACTACATCCACTGAGGATCCAAGCATTTGGTTACATCTGGGAGATCTCCCAGGCTACACCGGCTGGGCACGCCCATTTGAGACGCTTGCAGGGTCGTTTGGTCCGCCCAGCTTTTGGCCATCCAATGCAAGTTGGGTGGTGGGAAAGAATGCTACCATTCGTGTCCATTGCATTCCTTCCATAGCTCAAACCTCCCGTCATCAAGATCATTTTTGTCAGCATGGAGGGTCTCTCTTCTACCTTCGGGCCTATGGTCCAGCTGTGCTACCAGGTCGTGTGATGGATTATGGAAATGGGACCTACGACATTTCCTTTTTTCCAATGGATGCCGGAATTTACCACCTGGAGGTTGTTCTAGCTTTCTCTTCACCTCCACCTTTCACTGCATTTCCTCTTTCATTGGATCGGAAAGAAGAGCCCGCCTACGAAGGGTATCCGTTGCCAGGATTTCCAGTGGTGGTTGATGTACAACCAGAGTCTATTCCAACCAGTGTTGTTATGAAAGCAAGAGACTGCCAATCCGCGGACTTTTTCTGGATCGGCAATGCACGAGGACCACACCCTACTGAGAATGGTCGGTGGATTGTACAAGACAAGGCCACATCCGCCACTGGAACAAAATCAAGTCGATCCAGCAAACAGGGTGGTGGTGTCTCGATGGGTGGCTACCAAAAAGGTTTGAATTCGGTGGGAGTGCGCATGAAGTATGCTCCCCGGCATTGCAGACTGCTTCCTTTGAACCGAGCTATCGACAAACTAGGTTGTGCAAGCGGCCACAACATTCATGTCATCTACATTGGCGACTCCAACTTGCGTCTACAAAAAAACACGTTTGATTCCTTTTGGAAGACTGTCAGCTCTAAGGCCGCCGCCAACAACGATTCTGGGCTACCTCACATTGAAACCAGCCTGATATCTTTGCATGGAGGTCTTCACCAAACTCTGCCAAATGTCTCCCTTGCCCTTCGGGGCATCTTGCACAATGCAACCAGCACGGACTCCAAAAAGACAGCAACGGCGCACATGATACTCTTCAACTCGGGTCTACATGACATTTCACGTCGCTGTGCAATGCCCAATGGACACGAGCTGCTTAGCATGAATCTTTCCTGCACCCAAGACTACAAAAATTCCTTTCGAGCACTGCTGAGCCTTGTATCACAGTTTCCGGCGGACCTCAAGGTACTCCAAACAACGACAGCTGGATGGCCCAAATATGGCAACTTTGGTTTCGCTTGGCCGCCTACCCATCCACAAACCCTGCCTCGCGATCCCAACTTTGTGGACCATTTCAACTGTGTCATGTTACAAGAAGTTGTCAACGCACGTACAGGTACACCGCGTGCGGCAGGCAGCTTTGGCAACAGCAACAGTGCAATTTCGGTGATGGATGCTTTCTGGTTGACACTGTCTCGACCAGATCATCGAGAGGTGGACAAGACGAATGCGATAGGAAAGCATCTGGTGCATCCCGGACCGGAAGTGCTCAATGCGCTGACCCGTCAATGGATCACAATGATCATTGAGAGCCTTTGTGGCGGGGCTTCCGTTTAGAAGAGGATGGAGAAAAGACAGAACGGCTACGGTACGTTGGTGCCCCGAGTGATCTGCGAGCACACTGGTACTGTCGTGAATCCAATCTACACTTCATGATGCAGAATCCAGGGGACAGCGGGCAACAATAGCAATCGAAGTCTCAAAAAAGCCTGGCCCTCACTGGCTTTGACGGGGTTCCGTCGTTTGATTTGACCAACGAGGACTGCACCTGTTGGAAACAAGCCCAGCGGGCATACGATAGTCGCCATAACTAGCTAGCTAACTAGGTCAGGAGTTGATCTGCTGAATGGATTCGACCAGCCACGAAGAATCACAATAGCACGACACATCTGAGGGCACAAACAATGCAACATAGTAGAACCGCGGCCGGGTACGGTGGTCCAGCGGTCACAGTCGAGTAATCCACGAGGAGCACTTGGCTTGTACCGGTAGCGTAGCCTCGTTATTTTAAAACTAAGACGTTGACTGCGAGTCGAGTCCCCTCTAGTTGGCTGACAACCGCTTTCATCAGCACGGCCTACTAGCTAGAATGAGCCGAGAGCCGCTACTGGTCAACATAAATCCTTTACTTTAGCATACCACCACTACAGGTTTCGGTTAAGGTAGGTCGCCATCCAGCTAGAATAACACACAGCTCTTCCTTTTTCATTCAATGCATTCGTTTATTTGTTGGCTTTGTAATAGTTGATGAGCCCGTTGGTGGAACTGTCGTGGCTGGACACGTTACCGTCGGCTTGAAGCTCTGGTAGGATGGCCTTGGCGAGTTGCTTGCCGAGCTCGACTCCCCACTGTTGTGAGATAGAACGAAGGAAAGCATAATAAATAAGTATGATGTGCCATGATGTAGCAATTCTGGTGTGCGTGGCGATGGGAATATTTCTTTTTCGCTTACCTGGTCAAAACTATTGATATCCCAGATGGCACCTTGGACAAAGATCTTCATTTCGTACATGGAAATCAAGCTACCAAGTGTCCTGGGGGTGAGCTTCTTGAACAAGAACGAGTTGCTGGGGCGATTTCCTTCGAACACTTTGTGTGGGACCAAGTCATCAATGGCTTTTGCGTCCATTTTGCCTTCCAACTCCTTGCGAACAGTGTCGGCATCTTTACCAAATGCCATGGCTTCGGTCTGGGCAAAAAAGTTGGAGAGCAAGATGGGGTGGTGATCGGTGGGGCCACCCAAGTCCTTGGGCACATCGTTTTGGGTTTGAGTTGGAGCCAAAAAGTCACAAGGGATCAACTTGGTACCTTGATGAATGAGCTGGTTTTCATGAAGAAAACGAATTTTAAAATGCACAAAACGAGGATAACATTCAACGTTAGTACACACAGTAGATGAGATGAGTAGCAGCCGTTTGTATTTTATCAAAATAAATAAATCGTTCTTACCTGGTAAAAGGCATGCTGACCATTGGTTCCGGGCTCTCCCCAAAGAATGGGTCCAGTTTGCACCGAGACCTTTTGACCACTCTTGTTGACGTATTTTCCGTTGGATTCCATGTCACCCTGTTGAAAGTAGGCCGGGAATCGGTGCATGTATTGGTCATAGGGCAAAATGGCAAAGGTCTCGGCCTTGTAAAAGTTGTTGTACCAAATTCCAATCAACGCCAACGTGAGGGGAAGATTTTCCTTGGGCGGCGCGTTCAAGAAATGCTGGTCGACCGCATGAGCACCGGCATGCAACTCCATCCAGTTATCATACCCAATGGCGAGCGCAATGGAGGTTCCAATGGCACTCCAGAGCGAGTATCTACCACCGACCCAGTCCCAAAATCCAAACATATTATTCGTATCAATTCCGAATTCCGAGACTCCCTTGGCATTGGTGGAAAGAGCCGCAAAGTGTTTGGGGACAGCCGTCTCGTCGCCCTTGAAATGATCCAACAACCATTTTTTGGCCGTCATGGCGTTGGTCATGGTTTCTTGGGTGGTGAACGTCTTGGATGCTACCAAAATGAGGGTCGTCTCTGGATCGCACAACTTTAGAATCTCTGCAATATGCGTTCCATCGACATTGGAGCAGAAATGCATGGCCAAATCACGCTTGGTGTAGGGCTTCAAGGCTTCCGTGACCATGACGGGTCCCAAATCGGATCCTCCAATTCCAATATTGACAACGGCCGCAATGGACTTTCCAGTCTGTCCTTTCCATTCTCCACTACGCACCGACTCGGTAAATGCCTTGATGCGCGCCAACGTTTCATTGACATCGGGCATGACGTCCTTGCCATCGACCAAAATGGGACTGTTGGACTGGTTGCGCAGCGCCACGTGCAAGACGGCGCGGTCTTCAGTAGCATTAATCTTTTCTCCCGAAAACATCTTTTCCGCAAGCCCCTTGACATTCTGCTGTTCCGCCAGCTTGTACAAGAGGTCCATCGTCTCCTCCGTCACGCGGTTCTTGGAATAATCAAACAAAATGTCTTCAAACTTGAGCGACAGTTTGCTGAAACGCTCCGGGTCACTCTTGAAGAGCTCCTTCATCTGGGTATCTTTCGTCGCTTCATAGTGAGCTTCCAATGCCTTCCAGGCAGCCGATTCAGAGAGATCTGTCATGGTAGTCAACAACAAGTTTTTAAAAGTTACTTTTGGATTGTTTGTGAGAAAGACTGGTACAACGTGGCTTTATTCCTCAGGCAGGAATAGAAAAGATCCGAGTAAGATTTATTATTTGTGCGAAACCAAAAAGCATTCGCTTGTCCCTCCTCCACGAAAGATTCGATTCTCGATCCCCCAAGCAAAAGATACCACTGCCATGCTGACGTACTTCAGAAAAGCCAACCGAGCTGCGAATACATTAAGCTGACTAAGCTGCTCATACCGTTGCGACCGTGACGTCTTGCCTGAGGCAGCCAGGCTTGAAGCTTGAACCCACATCTCGAACGTGGAAGTTGGAAGAAGCGAAGAAGCAGCCAATCTCTATCATTGTTGATACAGTAAGCTGTTGGTATTCAAAAGCCGCACAGCTGCATCATTGTATCAGAGGAGATGAAGGCTCGATTGTTAAGCCCAGACGATGTGGACGCCGTGCTGGAGTTGATTTCAAACAGCCACAACCATGAAAACCGCAACCGCAATGCTGCCGAGAATGACAATACTGCATTGGAGATCAACTTTGGTGTTCCAGGACAACCCCCCATTCGCATTACGTCTCCTGATCAATTGCGTACTGCGATTCCCACAGGAGGAGAGAATAATGGACACTTTGAGTTGGAACTTGACTTTGGTGAATTGATCCGACGCACTTTGGACTACGAGGCCTGTCAAATCGATGCGGCACGCTTGGCCGAACTGCTCCGGCACAGTTCGGCACTTTTAAATGGAAACAAAATGACACATTTGACGCTCAACAAATTGGATTTGCGACAATCGCTGGATGCTTTTTGGAATGTGTTTGGCCAGGACTGCTGCTCCCAATTACGCCATGTGGTGGCCAAACAGTGCCTTTGGGACATGAATCAGTGGGTCCAACAAGGATTGATTCGGGTGCCACGGCTTCAGAGTCTGCATCTGGGACGCTTCATGGGGGTGGCTCCGGCACCCCCGAGGCTGACACTTCCAAATATATCATCTTTGTTACAGCAGAAAAGAAACACAATTCAAGAGTTGAATCTGGGTTTTGTCAAGGTACCATCACCCAATTCCATTGTGGACTTTTGCGTTGCCCTTGGTCAATGTTCCACATTGCGGCACCTATCTTGTGACAACATGGTTGGCAGCAGCTATGGACCTTCTGCTCTTGATGACGACGTTTATATGATATCTGCGGAACAAATCCATCAAACGATTGGGCAAACCATCGCTCAAGCCACAACATCACTGAAAGAATTGACATTGCCTGTCCTGGGCAAAGGATCACTGGAACCCATTGCACATGGGTTTGGCTCGGAATGTTGGATTGAAAAACCTTCGATTGCAACCTGTTACGGATCACCACTGGCAAGTGAAGATAGAAGGGGGGCATGAACACCCAGAAGTCATGGCGTTGCGTGATGCTGCAGCGGTAAATCTGACATTGCAGAGATTTGAATTCCAAAGACTCGGCCCTTGGGGGCGAAACCTTTCCACAGAACACTATGATTGGCCTCGCGACATGGACAAGAAAAAAGACCCCAACCGATTGGCTCTGGCGCAACTCCAGTTCTATCTTCATCTAAACCGACTCGGAAGACGTCCATTCCTGACCCAATCTTCCCAAAGAACAACAACACGAGCTGACTGGATAAACATGGTGGTGAAACATCGCAAAAATGAATCTGTCACATTCTATTTCTTGCGGTTGAATGCATCCCTCTTTTTTGTTTGACTGAGGTATTTGTTCTGGGTGTGGCGGTGATGTGTGACGGTTCTAACTAACACAATAATGATTCAAGACCATGCTCGAGTCTTGTCAGTGATTTGATTTGACCGCCTCCTTTCTCAGTATTGGTTTTTGGTTGCTAGAAAGGCACTCGCTCGACAAAGCCTTGCTGGACCAGAGGTTGGTCTCAATGTGGGCCTCGGACCTGGACTTACCTAGTCATGACAAAGTCAACAGTCGGAATGATTCAATATAGGCTTAGCTAGCCGCTCACCTCTCTGTGTCTTTGTACTTATATGTTACCGGTGGGGACGACCAATTTAGCTCGCCCACACTTCCTGCACAAACTAGACCACGTAACCAATGAACTCTGTTCACGTACCCGCCCTTTTAAAAAGCGACGAAATGAAATGGAATGGAATGCACGTTATATATATTATTTGCATTGAAACAAGAGTGCCTTTTTCCTTCCCAGCGCCGCTGCTTCCTTACTGGCGGTCCGTCGAAAGAACATGGCCCGTGCCTGGGCGGCTGCTTCGGCACTGGATTGTCGTCGAAGGGCTCTATGTTGTGCCGCATTGGCAACTTCAACACTGACCTGTCGTTGCAAGGCGCTCGAGTGTGGATTGCGTCTTTGGCGGCTTGTCGTCGTCGTTGTTGACGGTTGGCAGCGGCATTAGCGACTTCTAAGCTGACCTGTCGTTGCAAGGCTCTTGACTGTGAATTGCGCCGAGGTGCGGCTTGTTGTCGTCGTTGTTGACGAGTGGCGGCCGCATTGGCCACTTCAACACTGACTTGTCGCTGCAAAGCGCTAGCATGTGGATGCGTTCCTTGCGGCTTGTCGTCGTCGTTGTTGACGGTTGGCGGCGGCATTAGCGACTTCGACACTGACCTGTCGTTGCAGGCTGTCGACTGTGGATTGCGTTGAGGTTCCGTGGCTTGTTGTTGACTGACTCTGCGGCTGGCGGCATTGGCGACTTCGACACTGACCTGTCGGGACATGGCACGTGCCGATTTGGTTTGTTGGGAATTCTTTTTGCTGACATGCGCCGCCACCTTGGCACGTGCCTTGGCGTAAACGGCGAGATGAGTCTTGTTGCCGCCTGCGGCTGCTCGGTGCCAGGGCTGCGGATTGAGGGGAACGTCTCCAATGCGTTCAAATTCGGCATGGGCTTCGCGGTAGGCACGTACTTGGTAGAGACAAAAGGCAAACAAGTCGTTGCCAACGACTTCATCAGCATCATTTGTGGCGGACAGACTGCTGCGGTATTTGCGATATGCCTTGACGATTTCTTTGCGATCGGCTACCCTCATATTTTTGAAGTAAGCATCGTCTTGGGACTTGTCACTGGCGTCCATTTGTTGTTGTTGCTGCTGTTGTGTATAATGCCACGCCTTGTAATGGGCTTGCGGGAGCAACGTCCACAGTTCGTGTCCCAATGGCGGCGCCACGGTCTTGCCCGTCGGTCGCAGCGTGCATTCCCGGGCAAAGTCGATCATTTCGGGAATGGATCCTCCCCAATGCGGGGACAATCGTACGAGCATGGTTTGATGGACGAGTAGATTGTGGGGATCACTGGCGTCTTGTCGGAATTGTGTAAAAGTGGCCTTGAGTTGTTTTAATTCTCGTGTGGCCGTCAAGAGATTGACATAGATTAGAGGGTCCGTGGGATCTAGTTGGAGCGCGATTTTCAATTTTTGTTGGGCCAGTTCTTGTCGTTGATGAAAGACTTGCATGGAGAGTGACGTTCGTGATGATGATTCTGTTTGATCAATTGATTGTAGTTGTTGTTCCTGCTGCTGTTGCCGTAGTGCACTCCATGCCTCGGTAATCCACAATTGTCCGTAGAGTAAAAAGCCATCCGGATTCTCAGGTTCCTTGTGACACCATTCGTCCATTCCCTTGCGCCACGCCATTTCACTGCTATTGCTAGTGGGAGTAGTTTTGGTCCGATATCGAGCCGCCACTCGATCCAAAAAGGAATTCTTGGCGTCCGGATCGACTTTCAAGGCCAATAGTTGATTGCGCAGTGGAAACCAATTGCCTTGTTCCAATTCCATGACAAACCATTCCACCTTGCTGATCGTCGCCTGGCATTTGCTCTCTTTTTGAAACTTTTGGTTGATGCAGATCCCTTCGACTCGAGGGCTCAACAATTCTTCCATGGACAGTGGCGCCACCGTAATGGACTGTTGTAGGGTCACGGTGCGGGGTTTCCTCATGGCTGCTGGAGGTTTCTCGTGTTTTGCTGATGATGAATTGTGGGTTGCTGATGAATGAGATTCCATCGCGACGCTTAGATCCAGCCTGGTAGGTACTTGGAGACTCCTTCACGGTCCTTCCTCTCACGCACAACAACAAGGTATGACCTTGATGATGAATGAGCTCTGAAGATCCGACCTCGGTGTCAACGTGGCTGAGCAAAGGAGGGGAGCACTGGAATCTTACTGGTACTTTGATCGTGCCACTTGACGCGACTACCGGTACGGTGCATCGAACTGTAGCACGCAGGGTCACTCGTGACCAGTTCGGCGAACTATGACCGGTACCGGTACGCTGTCCATTTCATCCGCACTTTTGCCATGCATATCGTCGTGCTAGCTAGCTACATGAGTCGCTGGTTTGCAGCTGAGGCGTCGCAACGTCGGCTCCTTAGATAGGGTTCTATCCATGCATGTAGTTTCAAAACCACAAGTGCTTCCGTGCGGGTACCTTTCTACACTGTACTGTATTTGTTTGTTCAGTAGGCACTGGGAGCAACAGAACCGGAGAGCAGTGTACCATACCGCCAAAGAGTGAAGTGGGCGGTCATTGGCAAAATGATCAAATAGTACTGTACTGCACCACATCACGGTGGAACTGTCCGAGGATGTTGTTTCCGATGAGGAGGCTGCAGGGCACCCACCTCATGGCGAAATGCTCTGCCAACCTGAAGTCTGATCCAGGTCCGTACATCTAATCTACTACGGTAGCTAGTACATCTGGAAGAGGTTCTTGCCTCTGTTTCAAATGGACAACATGTGGACTTGCATACGGTACCGGTAATTTGTGTGCAAAGAGACGTTAAATCTCCAATAATCCACTGTTGAAAAGCTTCGTATCAGAGCTTTTCGCCGGTCGCCCGTCGACCCAACCACCGACCATCGCAAATCGCAAGGAACAGAGTGATTACTAGCTACAGTTAACGCTCGCTTATATTTATAATCTTATATTTATTCGCTCTATAATATTTATTATATCTCGAGTTCCCCCCCCAATCCGACCTAGACCAACATGAACGGCGCCAACATGAACGGCGCCGATTCAACCGCAACGAAGAAGAAAGGAGCGAAGAGGGGACCGAAAGCAGGTTCAAAGAACGATGTAGCCAAGGCGAAGAACAGATCTGACTGGTACAAGGCCTGCCATTCCTGGCTGTCCTTGATGATGAGGAGCCTGAACCGATGGACGTTGACCCGGAACCTGCCGATGTGTTTGCCTCATTTGCCGAAGCTGAAGAGGCGCTCAATAAGCTGTCCGAAAGTGCCTCCAGCTTGGGTATCAACCAAGCTGCTACTGTGCATCTTGATAGGTTTGCCAGAGCCTTGAATATGGCCAGGGCGACAAGGGCTGGCAAACGCAAACGTGATGGCACTCTCCACTCGTTCTTTACTAGTGGTTAGTAGCAGTAACGCTCTATATTTAGACACACTGTTATATTTACTGGATTCCTGAATCCCCCCCTGTATATATATCTGAATGTTGACTGTACTAGTAGTAGTTTATCAACAACCATGGAGAGACAGACCTCCAGTAATGCATCTCCTAGGTCATACAGGAGTCCTGGGAGTGCACCATCAAGTACCAGTAGTAGCGCCCCTTCTAGTCCAACCACAAGAAGGCGGCGCAAAGCCAAGAGTGGCGGAGCACTATTCGTTGTCCTCCGAGCCTTGGCCGTATTGGGCCCTCTTGGATTCGGGGCAAACATTGTCTACTTTCAGTTCTATTTCCCGTACAACAACAATCCAGATTGCAATCCAGAGCACGTCCATGGCGTTTCCATTAGAGTCAAAGGGCGGTCGCCCCGTGACAATTGTCATGATTCTCCAACCAGAAAGATGACCGCACTGGAGGATGATGATTTCACTGACGAGAATGACCACAATCTGCCAGCAGTATTGTCTGGAACATCAGTATTAAAGCGTCTCCAAAAACAAGCAGTCTCTAGTTGGCAAGAATGTGGATCGTCCTCCAAAGCGACAGTGGCTTTGGTCAATCAACTATCTGGCCACAAACAATCGCTACGAGTTGCGTCTCCGGCAGTATTGCAACCATTTGGGTTAAAAGACTCTCTGCTGCATCTGCCAACAGAGACACAAAGAAGGCTACAAGGAGCTAATAACAGTTCATCTTCAACAAATGGAGGAATTGAACACTGTCAAATACCCCAACGAGGCAGTCTGGAATGCCAGGAATCCACCTATGCCATGATTGTGACCTTTCAAGGGGAGCACAATTTTCGACAATTGTTCATGAATTTGCTAGCCTTTCTCACATTTCCATCCGTCTCAGATATTATTGTGCTCATGCCACATAAATATTGGGGGTACAAAGGACATTCTATCGTGGATGTCAAATACAAGGAAAGACTCCATGCATGGCACAACAACAAGCAGCACAAAGTATGGATGCATGCGCTACCCCCCACATTGGAAAATGAAGGAAGATATAGTTTTGATTTCATTGTACACAAGGCTATGGCTCGACTTGGATCAGCCAAAGCGATATTGTTCATGGATGGAAGTACTCTATGGAAGGGAAACTACGGGGGAATCCACACTGGGTTTGAATTGTGGAAGCAACATCCCCATGCCCTTGTGGCGGCGGCAGCAGCACCAATTGGACAAGAAGAATGCCCCCAAGGAACCTCATCCTCTTCATGGGCTGCTTTTTGTCAGTCATCGTCTTCCTCTATTCCCAATGAAATGAACAAACTGTATCGTCCGTACCAAAATGTCCTGGACATGAATGGCATTTTTGTGCACAGAGACCTGCTGTGTCTCCTACAACAACCCCCACTCTCCACCATTCTAATAGAATCTGTATGGCGCGGCTTGGATGATTCTAGCAATGACCAAGCCACATCTGCCTCCATTCGAGCCATCTTGGGCGCAGCTCTGCTGCAGATATCGGGACCAAATCCACCACTGTTGTTCCCACCACACATTGCTCGACCCAAGAATGAAACCAACGAGTACAACGACAATTGGCATTATCTTGCACCGGCCAAAGAGAGAGAATGGTTGGCGGCTCTTCGTGTCAATACTACTTGGACACAACAACGAGTATTGGTGGAGTTGCTGGGGTACTTTGGGAGTGGACTGAGCACAGTGGGACACCATCATGCACCGTACTGGTGCAGCAATGATCAGAAGCAAAAAGGTGTCTACTTTATGTCAGACATGCCTTGGATTGGACCCAACAGCAAATGCTGATGGTGCTATGACATTACTAATTCCTTGAGGATGAACGTGCCCAAAGCGTACCGAAGTCACGGCCAATCCGAGAATCAAAAAACAACAACAACAATATCTTTATAACGGATATGGTGTCAATGGGCAAGCACTCCTGGACTGGCAATCCGAGAATCAGTCTGGCTAACCTGCTTGCCATCTGCTGATGATAGCTTTCGTCTAAAACTCCATAGTTGACGCAAGGAGTGACGCACCCTGCAAATTGTTTATGGTCCAAAGAATCTTTAGATGTTTGTTGTCTAATCGTAGCTACAACGGATGATCGGCGTCACACAATAACCCCCTCCTTCACTAGCTGTCGGACGATAAAACCAGATATAAACGTTGGTTTGGTGTCGTCTGTGCTGATTTTGTTTTCTTCGTCCAGCACTTTGAGATCTTGGAGGGATATCCATTGCCGCTGGATTTTCCGACTCCCAAACAAGTCCACCGCGGGAACGTCCTCCAGCCCGGGGATATCTGTAGCGTCCAATGTGAGATAGACTCCAATAATGGTGTTGCTCACGTTGGAAGTGGATTTGTGGGTGTAGATTCTCCCGTGGTGGTCCTTGTGAGGATTTCTGCCAGTCTCGGCCATTCGGGCGTCGCGAGTTTCAATCTCCTGTTGCAGTTCCTCTGCTGAAGTTCCTGGCAGTGGCATGGGATCTGGCATTTGTGGGAACATGGTGTAGATTCGCATGGATTCGACGAGTTTGATAGGATCCGCCATAGAGTCATCAAAGCTCACGTAACGATGAGGGTTGTTTTCATCCTTGTCGTCTTTGTGCGAAAAGAGACCACTCATTCGAAGTGTGCCATGAATAGCAGCCAGGCAATTGTCTTTTTCCAAAACACTTTGGACCACCAAGTTTCTGGACTTTTCCCAAGAGTCTCCCTCTTCGTCTTCCAATTGCTTTGCCAATTTCGTCGTTAAACCATTCCAAATCTTTGTTGCGTATGCGCTGAGTTCGGGATCCTGGACTTCGGGAGCATTTGGATCATGAAAGGCATTTTCTTGAATGTCAATTTTTCGATACGTCCAGGATTCCTGTCCCTTCGTTGTTGTTGGAAACTCGGGATAATTGCTGGCATCAAACGTTGGTTCCGACCATTGATACCCCCGGGGAGGCTGTTGCGCCGACGACAGCATCCATCGCGTTGCCGGAACACCGGTCCCGACTCCCCATTTGGACGTTCCATTGGCGGATTCTCGTACCAGTACTTGCGTTGTTGTTCCACTTTGGGTCCGACGATAGGCAATGAGAAAAAATTCCACCGGCCACAGCTCTGGATTTCGTTCATATTGTTTGACGTAGTCATTGTCGGGGATTGGCTGGAATCCATCCACGTCTTTGGTAAGATCCTGTGGCGACCAGGTGTGTATGGTAGTAGCCAGCATAGCAGCAGTCTGCCTTATTGGGACACGGCTTTTCACGACGAATGACGAAACCGGAGTAAGGGAAAGCATCACGGCGAAGACGACATGTAGTATCATCATTGGAGCCCTGACAAAAGGATTCCAACAGATTGGCCCTTCTAACAGTGCAACACGCTTTCTCTTCATGCTCTTGCTTTTGCCTCTTTTCAAATTGGTGACAGCTGATCTTTCCCTCCTCTTGTGCGATGTCATATGACACAGGGTACCGGTAGCAGAACTTGGCTTTTTTAAAAATAGAACAATCAGACGTTTTGTCAGCCTGACAATAGACTGCTCTCGTCTCTTTGACTTCGCCCTGCTTCTCTTGTTGGATCTTTTTAAGGCGGGTACGTCATTCAGTTTACGCACGCACACTTAACCGATTTTTCACAGCGAGGCCGAAACCTCATATTTGAGTGAAAGGCGTGCCATAGGTGCATTGGGTGGGCTCTGTTTTGGCATTCCCATGTTATCCAAAATTACCAAAACCGGTGGCAAGTTAACCATTGGTGCATTGGACGACTTGCACCAGCACAAAGCTCCTTGTTTGTCGCTTGCTCGGCTGGGACTTGATGCGGTGGACGCCATGGCCAAGGAGTTCCTGGAACGTTAAGCAGCCAGGAATCGTCAAAAAACACGTCCCTTCCATCGTCAGCCCTCCCGCTACTGGTAACTGGCTCAGCAGGAGCTTCTATTCTAGCAAAAAGGCTCACTTTGCAACTACACATCCGCATCGGCACGCCACCATGAAAAAGTGCAAGACACAATTCTTCAGTGCTGGGAAGGACCACCATAATTTGGCTTTTTAGACGTAATTCTTCCCGGCATTATGGTTCTTCTTGGCGGCGGCCACAAACCACATCGCCATCATTCCGGCTATCACCCAGGGAGCAAAGCAAGGACCCATAAGTCCCTCCAATATCGTCACAGGTCCCAACAAGAGTACAACGATGGTCAAGACGGTGGCTTGGACGAGGCCAGGCATGGAATCACGAAGCCAAGAAATTGTACAAAGAAGCCAGGATGTGTAGGCAGGCATGCCTTCATCATTTAACAGAACATCGTTCTGGCGCAACTGAGGAGCAATTCCCAAGCACACCATTCGCATGGGAGACAAAAGCAAGTGCGCCAAGGTCTGTTGGGCCATGCCACTGGACACCCCACCATGGATTTCCACAAACTCGGGGGGGCATGATATCCTGAGAAGGAGTGGCATAGTTGGAAGGAATCCCATCCACCAAAATGGTTCCATCAGCCGTCAAGGGAGCATTGAGGCCATTCTTTGTTACAGTGGTAATCTCTTATCCACCTCGACTGGAGTGCTGCCGTACAACCTACCTGCATACATGATTTGGACAATCCTGCATCATCGATCCAACGACTACCTCGAAAAACAGGGCTACACAAGCCCTGGCGCCATCAATACTGATACGTATCAGTTCGAGCGTGTTTCCTTTGTGAACTGGTATTCTCCTCCGCAAGTTCAAGCAATGATCAAGTTCCTGGAGTATTCGACTCGCCACTAGTAGGACTTGGACATTTACATGGCTGAACTCAACCTCGATAAACTTCAGAAAACCTTGCAAATGAATATGATTCATCTTCATCATATATAGGTCACTCTCAGTTTGGCATTATTACTACTATAAAATCAGCAGAGGTCATAAGGGTTTGGTCTACAACATTCAAATACCTCTAAAGCTCTTTGAAATACATCTCAAGGGTTAGGGGGTTCTGGAGACGCTACTAGTGGTCGTGTTGGTGTTAGGTACGACCGCTTGCTGGCATTGGCAGGTACAGACAGCAGGGCACTCCACATTGGAACAATTGACTACGACAATACAGAGAAGCTTCTTAGAATGGCTGTCGTCAGCGCCAACCCGCAAAATATCAGACTGTCAATGAACCCACCTTCCAAAATGTTGATGGATAGTATCTGGCACATGGACCTCGGAATAACACCTACCAACTGGGTGCCTATATTCACAATGCAGAGGCCACGTGAGGATACTGTATCAGCAAACAATATCTAGCTGGCTAGTAGGAATAAGCGGCACATACACGTACCACCCAAGCGCAATTCTGTGAGAGATTGCAGATTCCCCCATTGTGGGGGTATGGTACCGACAATCCCAGGGTTGCTAAGTGTAGGGTAGGTTGGAGTTTCGAGGTTAGATGGTTTGCTGGGAGGCGAGATAGACTTTTGGATGCCAGCAAAGCACCAACTCACTTTTCGAGATTCAACTCTTCAAGGTTGGTCAGGCCGGAGAATTGAGCTGGTAGTGTTCCAGAGAACTTGATAGCAACATGGTGAGGGACCAAAGAGACAGTCGCAGCCGAATCAACCATGCGTTTGGTTGTGTGATTACCTGATTGTCTTCCAAACGAAGCTTTTTCAACTGGATCAAAACCCCAAAAACAAGTGGAATTGTTGAGTTGAAGCGATTGTTTTGCAGCTGCAATTCTTCGAGGTTTGCCAATGCTCCGATGTCAAATGGAATGGAACCAGTCAATCTCTAAAGAATCGAATCGAGTTGATTTTGAGTTCCAGACGGCAGATGGCACCACTGCTGTCTCAAACCACCCAAGCTATGACTTACGTTTCCTTCAAGGGCGAGCACCTCGAGTTCCATTAAATTCGCAATCTCGGTTGGAATAGTCGAAGTGAGTCGGTTGCTTTCTATGCGTAGCGAGACAAGATCATCCATGAGGCCCAATTCAGATGGCAAGGGACCGTCAAGTGAGTTGCCGTCAAAGTTTAGAGAGTTGAGGTTGTTTAGACGGCCAATCCTTGTCGGGATCGTGCCTTCAAGACGATTTCCCGAATAGTTGATGTTCCGGAGCCTTCTGCGAAGCCCTGTTCGATAGAAGGAGAGGGGCAGCATGTCTTCCTCCAACTGAGCATCCAAACCACAATTCGTAATGGAGATTGATCTCAGTTCAGGAATCATTGCTACTTCCGCCGGCATTATGCCTTCCAGTCCACGAGTCTCCAAATCGCTCAGATACAGATAAGTGATGTTTCCATCCGTCACATTGCGGCAAAGCACTTCCGTGCTCCAGTTACATTCCGAGATGTCATAGTTGAGAAAGCTCGCCTGGGCCGTTTCATCCCATTTGTCGCCTTGCATGGAGTAGTACCAAGTCACCAGCGCATACATTTGAGCCTTCCTGTCTTCGGTCAGAGACGAAAGCCGAGGGTGATCCAACAGCCACTGGTAAGCTAGGAAACGCGGTGATATCAAGTCTTCTAGTGCATATTCGGGGAGATCCAAAACCAAGTCGATAGGCACATCAATTTCGTCGGAATTGTCCGTTGTTGTCGCGTTGCCAGCAGTGATGTTGGCGGTGCTGTTAGTGACGACACCATTTTCAATGAGGCTGAACGCAGTTTGCTGGCCGCTCGCGCCCCAGAACTGAAGAATCACAAAGGTCCGTAGGATGCTGCGGGATAGCTTCATGCTGCCCATAGGTCTTCAAAGAGTAATTAGAAAGTTACTACTTTTAGAGTCGAGTCGGCTATTCTATTTCGATTTTTCGAAAGGAAATGTGCGCAAGAAAGATCTTTGCGAACCAGGCTCGCTTTTGGTTCTTGTGCTCGCTCGTCTCCTTTTAACACCGTGTTAAAAGGCACTCACGTGCGGGAGTGTTCTGTGGAAGTCGTGTCGTCCGATGCAAGCCAACGAAGATTCTTCCTTCTCCAAATGTGTTCTCGAACAGCAGCATCTTTTGCAATGGCTGAAGCATTGTGTTTGCAAGGAATCCTTGTAGAGGACCTATGTTTTCGACTGGGTGAATGAAGGCTAGCTAGGTCCAAGCTTTCTTGTTCGCGCGCCGCACGAATCGTGCGGGCTTCTTGCTAGAGGCAGCATGTTTCCTAGCCTCGACCTATGCGTGTGATGATAGGTCCGTTTTCTATATGGTGACCGTTTTTGAGCACTATCTGTTGTACGGGCTACAACACTTCAAACATCTACTAGCTAGTAGACAGTGCCCCAAAGAAAGATCCCAAAACTTCCTAGTTGTTCTCTCCTCATTCTTTTGGTCAAGTTTCTGAGCGGAGCTTCGTGCTCTGGTCTAACGGTGGCAACAGAAGTTATCAAGGTGCACAATGAGCCCTCTAGAAACATAGACTTAGCAGCCAATCCTTTCCTTCTTTTACATGTTCTATCTGTAGTCTCTTGCTTGTATATTAGTAGAAATATTTCACACCGAATTGATTAGCCCTAACGCTACCGAATTTTAACCCGGCTTGTGACTGACTCAGTCGTGCCACGTACCCTTCCCCCATTTTTTCGGTGAGGCAATCGACCAACTCAGCCGTGGCAATACAGTATGTAAAAGGGGTTTAGAGTAGGGAAATTATCTACGGAAGCCAGCCGGGGCCAGGCTTAAGCAAAGAACAGTCGAAATTCAGGACTAGGTTCTGAGGGATCAGGGGCAAGAAATTGAGGACCATTAC